GAGTTGGCGACCCCATCCCACCAAAAAACTACCTTGCCAAAAAAAACGCTAACCAGAAAAAGTAATCCAAACCATTTTAACTCTAACCTGGGAGTTGGAAGAAGAATTATGACGTCGCGTGATGAAAGCCGAGTTCCCTCGGAAGTCACGGGGCTGATGCCTCTTCTGACAACCAGAGCAACCATTTTTTAGGTACATGGAACGTTTGTACATTGTGGGAGACTGGAAGACTATTTCAAAATGCAGCAGAAATGAAAAGATACAACCTCGGCATCAGTGAAACGCATTGGACACAGACAGGACAACTGAGACCAGCTTCAGGAGAACTGCTGTTATACTCTGGTCATGTTATGCACCTACCAACGACTACAATGACGACGTTAAAGATCAATTCTACGAAAGGCTGCAGTCAATAGTCGAGAAATGTTCACCAAAGGATTTGACGATTCTTATGGGAGACCTGAATGCCAAGGTTGGAATGGACAACACTGGATATGAAGACATCATGGAACGACATGGACTGGGAGAAAGAAACGAAAACGGTGAGAGATTTGCAAACCTATGTGCCTTCAACAAACTGGTCATCGGTGGCACAATATTCCCGCACAAACGCATTCACAAAGCCACATGTATTTCACCGGACCACACTCAAAACCAGATTGACCATATCTGTATCAACAAAACGTTCAGAAGGACTATGGAGGATGTGAGAACCAGGAGAGGAGCTGATATAGCCTCAGATCACCATTTGCTAATCGCCAAAATGAAACTGAAACTAAAGAAGCACTGGACAACGGGACAGACAACATCACACATGTTTAATACGGCCTTTCTTCAGGAATTCAATATAGCCCTCACCAATAGGTTCCAGGCCTTTCAGGATCTACACAATGGAGAGGAAGCAACATTGGAGAACAATTGGAAAGGGATTAAAAAGGCAATCACTTCAGCATGTAACGAAGTTCTGGGTCACAAGAAGTACCATCATAAGGAATGGATCTCTGTTGATACTCTTGCAAAAATTGAAGAAATGAGGAACAAGAAGGCAGCAGTGAATGTCAGCCGAACAAGAGGGGAGAAAGTTAAGGCACAAGCTGAATGCACGGAAGCAAACAGGGAAGTGAAGAAGAGCATCAGAGCTGACAAACGAAAATATGGGGAAGATCTAGCAATGATGGCGGAAAAGGCTGCAAGAGACGGAAACTTGAGACAGTTGTACGAAACAACAAAGAAGCTCGCCGGAAACTATCGTAAACTAGAACGACCAGTGAAAAGCAAGGAAGGCAAAGTAATCAGCAACACTGAAGAACAGCGAAATAGGTGGGTAGAAGACTTTCAGGAACTCCTGAATCGACCAGCTCCACTGAACCCACCCAACATCAAAGCAGCATCCACGGACCTCCCAATTAATATTGGCGCACCTACGATTGAGGAGATCAGTATGGCCATCAGACAAATCAAGAGCGGCAAAGCAGCAGGACCAGTTAACATTCCAGCAGAGGCAATGAAAGCAGATGAAGAAGCAACTGCGAATATATTTTACATCCTCTACAAGAAGATATGGGATGAGGAACAAGTATTATCCGATTGGAAAGAAGGATACCAAAGAAAGGCGAATTGAGCAAGTTTGAGAACTACAGGGGCATCACTCTTCTTTCAATACCATGCAAAGTCTTCAACAGGGTATTGTTAAACAGAATGAAGGACTTCGTAGACGCCCAACTTCGAGATCAACAGACTGGATTTCGTAAGGATCGATCGTGTACCAACCAAATAGCAACATTACGGATCATTGTGGAACAATCAATTGCATGGAACTCACCACTCTACTTCAACTTTTCATAGACTACGAGAAAGTATTCGATAGCGTGGATAGGAAAACACTATGGAGGCATCTTCGACACTACGGCGTGCCTGAGAAGACAGTCAACATCATACGGAATTCTTATGATGAATTCAACTGCAAAATCGTGCACGGAGGTCAGCTGAAAAAATCGTTTGAGGTGAAGACCGGTGTCAGGCAAGGTTGCTTACTCTCACCCTTTCTCTTTCTCCTGGTCATCCACTGGATTATGAAGACGTCGACGTCTGGAGCGATGCACGGTATCAACTGGACAGTTAGGACGCAGCTGGACGATCTGGACTTCGCAGATGACCTGGCTCTTCTATCGCACACTCAACAACAAATGCAAGAGAAGACGACCAGTATAGCAGCAACCTCTGCAGCAGTAGGTCTCAACATACACAAAAGGAAAAGCAAGATTCTACGATGCAGCACAACATGCACCAACCAAATCACTCTTGATGGAGATGCCTTGGAGTACATTAGCACGGATTGGCAAAGCGAGGGCTGCATTTCTACAGTTGAAAAATATCTGGAACTCCAAACAACTTTCAACCAAAACCAAAATCAGGATTTTCAATACAAATGTGAAGACAGTTCTACTGTGTGGAGCGGAAACATGGAGAACTACGAAAGCCATCATCCAGAAGATACAAGTGTTTATTAACAATTGTCTGCGCAAATTACTTCGGACTCGTTGGCCAGACACCACCAGCAACAACTAACTGTGGGAGAGAACAAACCAGATTCCAGTGGAGGAGGAAATCAGGAATACGTGGTGGACGTGGATAGGAAACACATTGCGGAAAGCAGCTAACTGCGTCACGAGACAAGCCCTCACACGGAACCCTCAAGGCAAAAGGAAAAGAGGAAGGCCAAGGAACACACTGCGCCGAGAAATAGAGAAAGATATGAGAGGAATGAACAAAAATTGGACAGAACTGGAGAGGGAAGCCCAGGAAAGAGTTGGTTGGCGATAACTGGTGGGTGGCCTATGTTCCATTTGGGGTAACAGGCGTAAGTAAGTAAGTAAGTAAGTGTTGCGACATGATAAAATCAGGGATAGGCAAATTAGAGTCACCGTAGTAGACTCCTCTTGACGAAACGTTAGCTCACCAGTTGTAGCTGCACATCAAGTTGTGATCGTATAAGATCATTGCTACAGACCAATTTCGAGTCCGTCACAGAGAAAAACGTTGATCCATACAAAAGAAAATATTTTCTGGCGATTTGGTGGTGTCGAAATAATATCAAAACTGAGCCAGAAAAGAAGGGCGAAATTGTTATTATAATAGGGAGAAAAAATGGCAACGGCACACAAGTATAGTTTGCGCGCACAGAGTAGTAATCAACTAAGCGGTTCAGTAAAGCGATCGCTGGTACAATAGGTTATAATAATGAATGTTTCTATTAAACCAATCGCGTTATCTCCATTAAAGTGGGGTCACTACAGAAGCCCAGCGCCTGAAAGTGTTTACATTTTCCAGTCATAACACATTATAGAAGATATACTGCTGGCATTCATTGACATTCAAAACGAAGTTTGTTGAGTTTTACAAGGCTTCATCGATATTCTTCGACTTACATTTACAGCTACCGAAGAAGTCACTTAAGACGTAGCATATTACCAGACGTTAAGGGTTATCTTGTCTTTCAATGGCCAAGGAGTTGTTTTCAGGCAGAACGTTCACAACACTTTCGGTGACGTGACTCACTGAAGGTTTTAGGCTCTTGTATCATGTTTGGGAGCCTGTAACTATTAGGCCAAAATTTCTCAAGCAATTTTATAGCGGTTCCTATTAGATGAACAAGATGAAATTATCGGATTAAATTAATGTTTACTTGCCCTTATTGGACAGAGATCTCGAAGATAAATTCAATAAATGTTCGTTTCCTCTACAAACCTTAGTGGCTTAAAGCTGTTAAACTATACAGATTTCGCAAGTTTGGTGCAAGGAAATAAGTTTCTTCTTATCAGCAACTCGCTTCGAACCCGTTCAGACTATTCTATTATGTGGATAGAATAACTTTCCCCTCAGTCTGAAAAATATATATAACGATTTGCGGACATCTTCAAAGGAGCTCCGCCTGGAGAATGATTTGAGTGGGATCTGTGCCATTTAACCTCTAACTTCTTGATAGTTACGGTACTACCTTTGACGTGCAAGTAGTTTTTCGGACTAACATTAGAATTATATATCAGAAGAGTAATGAAAACATACGGTGGACGGTCGAATCTCCTGTTTGACAATTTGTATGGCAAGGTTAAAAAAATGGTTGGCAAATACGAGGGCAGAAAATTTAGGAACGTGAGTGATAAAAGAGCACGAAGCACGAGCTGCAAATGAAGCAGGTGGACCAAAGGACGAAATTATATCCTTAAAATTTCGAGAAGTCCTATTTCAGTGGCTCATACAAGCCTTCTGAGGCTCCTAAGATGCCAAAGAGCATCTATTCAATCACATTTGGGTAGATTCTAGAGTGTCGATGAAGCATGAAGTGATTAAATGATGGCGTCACATTGCCAATTTAAGATCAAATTATTTTAATGAGGTTTTCACCACTTCGAAAGAAACTGTAACAAAGATATTTCCCTTTCAAACAAGTTCACTTTCACCTTATTATAATTCTCCTAAATTACTTGCTTGATACAGATGTGAAGTTGGAATTTTTGAATGCATAACCCAGCAGTCTATCAAAACCCATGAATAGTACTATAAACTTCGACAAAACAATGAACACGATAATGTTGACTTACCTAAAGTAATATAACTCCTATAGGAGTGAGGAAGGTAATTTAATATACGTTTAAGACAATATCAGCAATCTTTTGTCAGCTAGTTTAGTGCATACTATTGTATACTTACTAGGGGTAACAGGACTATAGTCTTAGATTAGTTAACTAAGAAATCAAGATGTAATTCTTTAGCAGTGCACAGAGAATTCGAAGTCGGCAGAGTCCAACTGTCCTATTAGATCTTAAGATTGAGACAAATAATGATGAATCGTACGAAATGAACGATGTCTCTGACGACAGCCGACCTAAACGGCTCTGTTGACGATGAGCTTACTATATGATATCTGTAGATCGCATGTATCTGACTGCTATGAAAAAGCTAAAATAAATTAACCAATAGGGATGCACAAAGACATCTAGCGCGATTTTAGAATTGTGACTCTGTAGCATTTTGGAACCGTGCTCTAACATCTTCCAGTATCGATTCTTCATTTCTGGTATCTGCCTATTGAACCCTTCCACAGTTTGGGCAGCTGCAAAGTAACATTCACCCTCAAACCCATATAAACACATAATATCGAATCGGTCAGAATCAAATCCTTCTTACACTTAATAACTCTCTCAGTCGGAATTTTCTGTAAACTGAATTGAACGTTATGTGGTTCTGGTCTTTTTCATGAATATTCCCTGTTTACAAAGTAGACGGTTCGTACCCTATTTTTCATTAAAACAGCTTCAGGTTAATGCTTACCTGGCCAAATTTATGCATTTAATAAGGGACTTCTGATCCTTGTATAAAAGTGCCCTTGTCATCATAGGAATATGTAGAATATGGAGTCCCTCAGGGTACAATCTTTGGCCTTCCTTGGTTATTTCCTAGTTCGAAAATTCCCCCAACTGTAGCAAATTCATCTGTTCTGCTCATTGCGTGGTAGAAAACATTGAAGACCCGACAATTAAAAAGTGAGAGTTTTGTGTGTGGTTACTACCTGTAAACTGTTGAACTTAGGGCAGAGTGATGGTACCTTTTGTTATTACTTTTAGTAGGCTATATATTAAAAATAGTTCCGACGGCTCTGCGGGAGTCTAGTCATGCTATATACTTATATTTTACTCTGTTTTGTCCGTTTACAAATCTGCGACTAAGACAGCTCTCCTACATCCCAGATGTAGTTCCCCGAAAATCAACAGTTCGATATTTCTACTCAACGAAATCCTAGTTAGTACGAACCAGTTTGTTTCTTCTTACTCCCATGTAAGTATTAGGCGTGTTTTTATCATGAACTGGGCTTATAAAATTCACGATTGCCTTGGGTCTAAAAAGTTATAGCTTCGTTAGAAAAAATCAGCAGTATTCGGAAGTGAGGTCAATACCTAACTCTTCTTCCTCATTGCCGAGAAACTTTGGTAGTATCTCATTAGTTCACTGAAAAAGGTGAGGAATGGATTACATTTGTTAAACTTGTGAAACCCCGCTGCATATACTCAGAAATATTTTTGTATGTTCGTACTTAAGTTGAATCGCAATTCTATCAAACCAGCCTTTCAAAACAAAATAACTTCGCTAATTTCCTACTGTAGATGGCAATGAAAGTGCTTATACCACCGTCACTACCACTCAAGAATGATTTATACTATAAAGCATCTTTCTCGAGCATAATTCCAATCCGCTTGAGGTGTGTTGTAGTTACTTACGTTGTCCAGCCACAATTCCACCTTTCAGGTTTTTATATTAGATGCCTTTTTCGAAACTGGAACTTGGAGATCATAAATTTCCTGGATCGCAAGACTTCTGTGTTCTAATTTTTTCGCTGATTTCAAACTTTGATTTACTAATGTTGAAGAGCCGTTTGTGTTTTCCTGCTGTCGGAGTTATTCCATTGGTCGCGGTCACATTTTTCCTTGTCTTTGAGGTGTACACTGAACACTGTCACAATGATGGTAATTTGATTATCTTTGTTTGTTAACTTGCTCAATAAAGTCTTATTGCAGGCCAAACTTGGTGAACTTTCTTATGCTAGATGGGTGAATTCCTCGACTACTTTAATATGCTCTGGTGAAGAATTTGTAACTTTCTTCACACTTGTATAATTGTTGTTTCAGACTAGTGTTATGTGGTATTCTGTGAGGAAGGTTTACAAAATGGCTGTTGGGTGTCTTAAAAATGAACATAGGCAGTTACATTTAGATTGGTTTCCTGATGTTCCAGAAATAATGTAAGGATACTTTGGCCTATTTAATGCTTCTCAGTGCAGCTTACGTATCATATGAAAGGCGAATTCGTCAAGTGTGTACATTTTCTTCGTCAAACGGAATTCTAACTTCTAGTGTGTCACTGGAAGAACTAAACGGTACTTACTTGTTTGTCATTATATAGCTTTAGACCAATCACTTAATATGGCACTGACTACAACAGTATACTTCCTGCCAAATTCAATAATGACCAATGTATTTTTTATATGCAAACAGGTAAGTTTATTTCGATTTTTCCATTTTTTAAATTAAAGCCGATCTCAATAGACTATTAAGAGAGTTAGAATTCACATCTAGATTTTATTACCGCTTGAGTTAATGTATCTTGTACACAGTACAACAGAATGGGTTAAGCCTGGGGCTCTTCATCGCTTTCATTTCCCCCCTCGGAACTCCTTAGGTATGTTATTGAAGTTGAACTGACTATTTCGTCTGAAGTAAGACTTCATTTTCTTCTAAGTTTCAACAGTGACGAAATTTAAGGGTGGCATCTATTTTATTTCCCTTTATGAGTTCTTTATATCATGGGAAATGATTATAGTCATCGATTCTGACGACAGTTCGCCATAAGCTCTAACTCGACCAGTGGCGTTCCAGTAGAGAGCTTGTATAAGGTTAGTGTACTTCTCTGGTACTCGTTTCAATGACAGACGGCCATAGAACCTTACGATCCACAGAGTCGAATGCCCCTATAAGGTCCAGGACGACAACTATTGTCAGACGACAAAATGCATGTCTGAATATATGTGGTCTAAACATCCACATCCAGGTCTGAAACCAGCCTGGTTTCCTTGAGTCTGCTCTTCACGATCCTTTGTTAGGCGTCGCAGTAATATCGAAGCCTACTGTATTAGTTGGATTTATTCCGTTTGCTAACCAAAGTACGAGTGCACTGCGCACCAGTTCGCTCAGTCCTACTATACGGGTGTAAAACATGGCCAGTAAGAGTAGAGGAGATTCGTAGGTTGATTATCATCGATCATAGGTGTCTTCAAAGCATTCCTCTGCTCGTGTATCGTGGGACAGCCGGGTAAGCAATGCTGTTGTTAGGAAGCGAGTACTAGGTAGGGATGGCAGATCCGTAGATGAAGTAGTGAAACTCCAGTTGAGATGGTTGGGACTTGTGTTACGAATGCCCAACCACCAACTCTCTCGACGAGCTATGTTTTGTGATGTAGGAGTAGGTCGGAAGAAAGCTAGGGGCGGCCAGACCAAAACGTGGCACAAATCCATGAAATCACTGACAAGTGGACTGAGTTATGCTGGTAGATGTAGGCTACCTGGTTGGGGTCCGCGAGACGATAGTAACCAATCGTTTACGATTGCCCAGGTGCATCCACTCTTTGTGTTCTGTGAAATTCTAATTTTCTGGATTCCTCATCACCTATGCCTTTCTCTTTTTAGATTCATATCACCGAATTATTCTTTTCGAACCATATCTTCAAACTCTAATCATCTCCATTACTGCTAATTCTTCTATCTCTATTCGAATTGACTATTGCGTCTCTGTCTCTGTGGTATGGCAATCCGAACTGATCTACGTACGTACGAAGTTCTACGTTGTAACCGATTGACTGACCCTATTTGACACAAGGTTCGAGTATTAAGACCTCCAATTTGTTGTTTGGTACGGGGTTTCAGAAGACCGGGAATAACATTTCCAGACCGTGGCTGCTACCTTGACGTGGTGGTCGGGCTTGCCTATCGTGATGACCCAACCGAGCTATATTTGCTGGAACATATGTTCCTGCAGGTCCTACCATGCCAGGCAGGTCGATTGGAGAATGATCAGACAAAAAGCAGCTACCCAAGGTCTGAGGACGAGGTCGTACTGCTGACTGCAGAGTGGTGTGACAGCAGTAAGTTGTTTCCCTCGGACAACCAGCATCTGCAGCGATGCTGCCTTCTCACAAGGAAGGAAGGGTTAGAAAAGGTCGACCCTAAAAATGTCACACCTCACCCTACCTCACGGGTTTCCGTCTCCTTGGGTAAGGGTGCCCACTAAGGGCCTTTAAGAGCGGAGCTAATACTTCAAAATCCTTTCATAAAAAAGGCCGTGCGTGGCCGGCCTCAAGCAGTTGTCCCTTGGACTCTGCGGTCAAGCTCCCAGGTCTCCTAAACCAACACTAATCTATCTTTCTTTTCAGGTTCCTCAAGAGACAACCTTCCACGGTGTGGGCAGCCGGGAAGTGACGATCACCCTCATACCCGTAACAGCACATGAGACCAAATTGGTTGAAATCGAATCCTTCCTACACCCACACATACTCTCTTCTCTCCACAACTAACTCTACTCATATTCCCTTATCTGACTGCACCGCTAATGCAAACGATGCGAGTTCACGAAACGTCATTCCTGGTCTCTTGAAACCTCGTTCTAGACTACATGTTGGAGCATTTAATGTACGGACATGATGTCAAATAGGGCAACAGGCATCATTAGCTAGGACTTTAGAATCTCGTGTCATCGATGTATGCTGTGTCTCGGAAACGCGCATACAGGATCCTAGTAAAATGATTAATTTGATTTCACCTTGTCAAAATAAAGAAGCAGCTCGATTTACTCTTCGTGTATCCGGTAGCCCTGATGCTGCTTCCAGGGGTCTTGCTGGCGTAGACATAGCATTGAGTCGTAGAGCTGAACAATTTCTCCTTGGCTGGATCCCAATAGATAGTCTCTTCTGCGCTGTCCCGCTAAACGTGACAGTAAGGACTCGGAAAGATAGGGACACTCGTCGTTGCCTCTTCGTCGTATCTGCCTACGCCCCCACTGACTGCATTTCAGACGAGGTGAAAGATGAGTTCTACAGAAAGCTTTCGAAGCTATGCGCTCTGATATAGTAATAATGGCTGGTGACTTTAATGCACAAGTAGGTAGACTAAGTGAAAATGAAAGACACCTAGGTGGATGTTATGGTGTCGCGGCTCAGAGAACAGACAATGGTGACCGTCTGTTGCAAGTATGCTCAGACAACTGCCTATTCTTAGCAAACACTAACTTTAGGCATAAGGAAAAGCATCTGTTGACCTGGCGACCTCCAAAGTCTTCTCAACGTTGGATGCAACTAGATCACATTGCCAACAGCCACCGATGGAGGGGTTCGATAGAGGACTTGCTAGTTGTGGGGCACATGTCTAGATTCAGATCATGCCCTAGTGCGAGCGCGTATCTGTTTAAGGCTTACTGGGCGTAGGAAAGACGCCGTAAGGAAGCCTCTTAGGGTCTCAGAAAAGGATGGCACTATTATTTATTCTCAATCCAGGAGATTGGATCGATGGGCAGAACACTTTAGGGATCAGTTCAACTGGCCTCGAGCCACTGTTCGGTTACCCACGACCTCCAGTCATCCTGAATGGCAAATGGACGTAAGTCGCCCTAGTCTTTATGAAGTTGAGAAAGGGTTAATAAATCTGAAGCGAGGGCGAGCAGCAGGTCCTGACAGATTGACCCCTGAGTTATTGAAGGATGGCGGTCCAGTTTTAGAAGCTAGGTTGACTGAAATCTTAGGTAGAATCTGGGAACTGGACGTAATCCCATCCGACTGGTCCCAATCACTGATTGTCCCAATCTATAAGAAAGGACACAAGTCTTCTTGTGACAAACACAGGGGAATCAGTCTAAATAATAGAGTTTCTAAATTGTTAGCCTCGATTATACTTAGATGTCTAACTAGAGCTCGTGAAGAGCAGACTAGAGAAAACCAGTCTGGTTTTCGACCTTGACGTGGCTGTATAGACCACATCTTCACACTACGACAGGTCCTGGAACACAGACACATATTTAGACGTCCTACAATAGTCGTGTTCCTGGACCTCGTCGAGGCAGTCGGTGGTTAAGCATACGCAGCACATGTCCCAACCACCTCAACTGATGAAGTTTCATTACTTTATCTATGGATCTGCCATTCTTACCTAGCACCCGTTTCCTAATAACAGAGTTGCTCACTCGGATGTCCCAGGACATACGAGCAATGCTTCGCAGACTCCTATGATCGAAAACCAGTAGCCTACGAATATCTTCTACTCTCACCAGCCATGTTTCACAGCCATAAAGTAAGACGGAGCGAAATACAGCGCAGTACACTCGTCCTTTGGTTAGCGAACGGATATCACGCCTACGCCATAAGTGACGCAGGTTGGCAAAAGCCAATCGAGCTTTCTGTATCCACGCTGAGATTTCGTAAGTCACCAGGCTATCAGCACTGACGAGACTCCCGAGATAAGTGAAGCGGTCAACACGCTCGACTACTTCACTCCCTATCACTAGTTCAGGTGCCGATGCAACCCAATCCTGAAGCAACATTTTGCATTTCGAGGGGTAAAACAGCATCCCGAACATGCTCGCATTGTTGCTTAAGGTAGTCAGAAGACTCTGCATTTTGTCAGCGTCTTCAGCGAATAGAACTATGTCATCGGCATATTCTAGATCAGTAAGCGACTTTCCTGGTAGAAGGTCAACCCCTGACAAATCTGACGAGCTTAATGCTAACTCTAAGAGGATGTCTACGACAAAGTTAAACAAGAATGGAGAGAATGGACAGCCTTGACGGACACCACTTGATGTAGAGAATTCAGATGACCGTTCGCCATATGCTCTCACCCGAATAGTGTTCGAGTAGAGAGCTTGTATAAGGTTAATGTACTTCTTTGGTACACCTTTCAATGACAGACACTGCCACAGAACCTTACGATCCACTGAGTCGAATGCCGCTTTTAGGTCCAGGAACACGACTATTGTAGGACGTCTAAATATGTGTCTGTGTTCCAGGACCTGTCGTAGTGTGAAGATGTGGTCTATACAGCCACGTCAAGGTCGAAAACCAGACTGGTTTTCTCTAGTCTGCTCTTCACGAGCTCTAGTTAGACATCTAAGTATAATCGAGGCTAACAATTTAGAAGGTAGGAAACGGGTGCTAGGTAAGAATGGCAGATCAATAGATGAAGTAATGAAAATTCATCAGTTGAGGTGGTTGGGACATGTGTTGCGTATACCTAACCACCGACTGCCTCGACGAGCTTTGTTTTGTGGTGTTGTAGCAGGTTGGAAGAAAGCTAGGGCGGCCAGACTAAAACGTGGCATAAATCCATGAAGTCATTGACGAGTAGACTTAGTCATGTCGGTAATTGTCGACTACCTGGTTGGGGTCCGTGAGATGATAATAATCGAATGTTAGAGACCTTGAATGACATGGCTCAGAATCGTTCGTAATGGCGCCCGTGCAATGATTCTTTGTGCTTTCTCAAATCCTAATCTTCTGGATTCTTCAACCCCCCCTAGTCTTGACTTTCTAAACTTTACTCATTGAATCATACTTCTTGAATAATATCTTCTAATCCTAACCTCTCCGATTACTTTTAATACCTTTACTACCTCTTCTAGTATTGGATTTGAATTGGCAATTATGTCTCTGTGTTGATAAGGTATGGCAACATGAACTGATGTACCTACGTACGAAGTTTTACGTTGCATCTGACTGACTGGAATAAAATTTGTCAAATGTACGAAAAAATGTTTGTTCGTGGCGATAAGAGAGATGTTAGAGTGTGTAAGAAGGATTAGATTGTTACCCATCCCGTCTGATGTGCTTTTTTGGGTGTTTAGGTAGTTGTCACTTCCTGTCTTCCCACACTGGTGAAGGGTACTTCCTAAGTAACCTTACAAGCACGTTGGATTAATGTTGGTTTAAGCAAACTGAGAGCCTGACCGTAGAGCCAAATGGAAAATTGCTTAAAGCCGGTCAAAACGCCCCTTTCATGTGAAGTTTTTGAAGTGTTAGCTCCGCTCTTGTTTGAAAGGCCTTACCGTCGGAGACGGAAATCCGTGAAGTAAGGTGAGTCTTGACATCTTTAAGGTCGACCTTTTCTAACCCCTTCCTTCCTTGTGAGAAGGCAGCATCGCTACACATGCTTGTTTTCCGAGGGAAACACCTTACTGCTGTTACATCCCTCCACGTGGAGCAGTACGACTTCGCCCTCAGACCTTGAGCTGCTGCATTTAGTCTTACCGTTCTCCAATCGACCTGCCTGGCACGGTAGAACCTTCAGGAACGTATGTTCCAGCCAATATAGCTCGGTTGGGTCATTACGATAAGCAAGCTCAAACAGCATGTCAAGGTTGAATGACATCGCTTAAAATTATTTGCAATGACGCAGATGCATCTCTTTGTCATCTTACAAATTCTAATTTGAATTCCTGATGAACACTTTATTCACTGTTTAATCTTATCTCACTGGATTTCACTTTTTGATTGATATCTATGATCCCTGATCTTTTTGATTGCCACTACTACTTCTACTGTCTCTACTACTATGGGATTTGAATCGAATTCCATCTCATTCTGCTTATGTGGTATGGAAACTTGAATCTATGTAACATCTTGATTTTATGGATTATTTCATTTTCTAGGGTGAAGTACGAAATGGAACCTGCCACAGTCAGTTGGGTAACGGCACATTTTATAATGGTGAAAAAAACATATATACGAACAACGAATTTTATAAAATAACTGATGAAGTTGTTCCTACACATATGGGAAAACACGAGTAAGCAATTTGTTATTTTATAGTTTGTAACGCTTGTATTTAGTTATTCGATAACTACTTTTGTAGTCATTATAATTACCTTGTTAAATGTCATCGTATTTCCAAAATGTTTCAGAAAATTTAATATTCAGAGCCTGTTAATTAATCTGATTACTTTTTAGAACCCCTTTGAGCCTTTGCAATCTGGTTTACTGGGATAACCTTCACATTTTGGTTTGACTCGCAAGTGGTATTTGTCTTTTTCATGCGTGAAAAATTCATTCTCAGGGACCTGATAGGCTTCTCCCTAACACGTTTAATGGTGGTGGTTCAGTTTTAACAGTTAGATTGACTGTGAGGTCTTAGGCAGAATCTGAGAACTGGACATAATCTCATCCGACTGGTCTCAATCCCTGATTGTCCCAATGTATAAGTAAGGACAAAAGTCCTCGTGCGACAATCACAGGGGAACCAGTATAACTAATATAGTTTCTAAATTGTTGGCCTCGATTATACTTAGACGCCTTACTAGAGCTCGTGAAAAGCAGTCTCAAGGAAACCAGGCTGGTTTCAGACCTGAATGTGGATGTTTAGACCACATATATTCAGACATGCATTTTGTCGTCTGACAACAGTTGTCTTCCTGGACCTTATAGGGGCATTCGACTCTGTGGATCGTAAGGTTCTATGGCCGTCTGTCATTGAAACGAGTACCAGAGAAGTACATTAACCCTATACAAGCTCTCTACTGGAACGCCACTGGTCGAGTTAGAGCTTATGGCGAACTGTCATTAGAATCGATAACTTCAAGTGGTTTTCGTCAGGGCTGTCCATTCTCTTCATTCTTGTTTAACTTTGTAGTAGACATGCTTTTAGAGCTAACCTTATCTTCATCTGACGTTTCACGAGTGGACCTTCTACCAGTAGACACGCTTACTGAAAACATAGTTCTATTCTGTGAAGACTGACAAAAAGCAGCCTTCTGACTACCCTAAGCAAAAATGCAAGCATGTTCGGCATGCAACACCAGTCGAAATGCAAAATGTTTCGGAATTAGCTTGCGTTGGTACCTGTACTCGTGATAAGGAGTGAAGTTGTTCAGTGTGTTGGCTACTTCGCTTATCTAGGGATTTTCATCAGTGCTGATGGCCTGATGACTGACGAAATCTCAGCACGGACACACAAGGCTCGATTGACTTTTGCCAACTTGCGTCACCTATGGCGCAGGCAAGATATCCCTTTACTAACCGAAGTACGAGCGTACTGCGCACCAGTTCGCTCAGTCCTACTATACGGGTGTAAAACATGGCCAGTAAGAGTAGAGGAGATTCGTAGGTTGATTATCATCGATCATAGGTGTCTTCAAAGCATTCCTCTGCTCGTGTATCGTGGGACAGCCGGGTAAGCAATGCTGTTGTTAGGAAGCGAGTACTAGGTAGGGATGGCAGATCCGTAGATGAAGTAGTGAAACTCCAGTTGAGATGGTTGGGACTTGTGTTACGAATGCCCAACCACCAACTCTCTCGACGAGCTATGTTTTGTGATGTAGGAGTAGGTCGGAAGAAAGCTAGGGGCGGCCAGACCAAAACGTGGCACAAATCCATGAAATCACTGACAAGTGGACTGAGTTATGCTGGTAGATGTAGGCTACCTGGTTGGGGTCCGCGAGACGATAGTAACCAATCGTTTACGATTGCCCAGGTGCATCCACTCTTTGTGTTCTGTGAAATTCTAATTTTCTGGATTCCTCATCACCTATGCCTTTCTCTTTTTAGATTCATATCACCGAATTATTCTTTTCGAACCATATCTTCAAACTCTAATCATCTCCATTACTGCTAATTCTTCTATCTCTATTCGAATTGACTATTGCGTCTCTGTCTCTGTGGTATGGCAATCCGAACTGATCTACGTACGTACGAAGTTCTACGTTGTAACCGATTGACTGACCCTATTTGACACAAGGTTCGAGTATTAAGACCTCCAATTTGTTGTTTGGTACGGGGTTTCAGAAGACCGGGAATAACATTTCCAGACCGTGGCTGCTACCTTGACGTGGTGGTCGGGCTTGCCTATCGTGATGACCCAACTCCAACCACAATGAGACTTGAACTGACATATTCGTCTCGTGGTATGGTAACCTGAACTGATGTACGTTCGTACGAAGTTCTACCTTGTAACTGAATGACTGACTGGCATGGCAATCGGTGACGCATAGGGAGATGATACTGATAAAATGTTAAGGAAACGAATGATCAGTTAAGCAACAATTGAATAAAGGTTGTTAAAGTATTTGAACTATGGAGGAGAAATGACGAACTAATATTCTCACTTGTAATCATTTGAGAATCCTTTGGTCTAAAATTTCCTAATAATGATTTCTGTCTCTAGTGAGCACCAGACCACCGAACCATGTCCTTGTTATCTGATGCTACAATTTGATTCGATCACTTTTATCGTTTTGCAGCTCCCTGTTGATCTCTGTACGCCTCAAGACAAATAGTCAATTTTCGAAATGAAACTTCATAAGAAAACGTAGTGTTTTAAATAATTCGTTCACTTTCGTGAACCCATTCTTCATCCTCTTCACTAATTAGTTATTCATTCAATCTGTTCAGTGTCGTTTGTTTTTACGTTTTTCCTCAAACCTACTAGTTACGTTAGTTCACTTGTTTGATTCGTGTGAAGATCTCTGTTTTAAGCTCGTATTTAGTTGACATAGTTGCTACGTAAAAATATTTCATCGTTGTAATCGTGAAAAATGTAGTTACGTTGCCTACTAAATATATGAATTATCACGTATTATTTACGTATTATAAAAGTAATAAATTATGAATCAAATGTTCAGTTTTTATTTCTTTATTTTCAATTTTCGTCCGCAATAAAATATGTAACCTATTTGTTCTCAAACAGGTGCTTCGCAAAAATCAATGGAACCTACTACGCTGTGTCAGTTATTTTCTCAAGTATGTCATTGAATACATTGATTCCTACTCATCGTATATTCTGTATGTAACATTTTTTATAATCTTGCTATCTTCAACACTACAGTAAGATATCGCATTATTTCTTATTGAATGACAAATCAGTTCTATATACACCTCTGTCTTACTTAAGCTTTTTTGAACGACATGGCTCATATTCATTTGCAATGGCTCAACCTGACCGTAGCTGCTACCTATACATGGTGGTCGAGCTTGCCTATCGCGATGACCCAACCGAGCTGTATTGACTGGAGCATACGTTACTGTAGGTTCTACCATGCCAGGCAGGTCGATTAGAGAACCGTAAGACTAAATGCAGCAGCTCAAGGTCTGAGGGTGAAGTTTCATGTTATGAAAAGTGTGTACAACCCTGCAGTTCCTTTTTTTCTAAGAAATATCAGGGTAACGAAAGTATATTAATTTATACTTGTTACCTGAAATCTGCAATTATGTTTTATGCCGATCCGGCATCAACTAAACATTCCAACCTTTTGGTAGTTTCGGAAACTGGATTGGAGTAGATATGCTTCGTCACATGGTGTCCTACTGCAATGATCCCCTCAAAAATTGTCAGCCTTTTATTATATGATATTAAATAGTTAAATTTGAAGATTTTATTGTAGTTCAACTGATTATACTGACCATTATATTCCATAAATTATTGGTTATGCTCGTCGCACAGCTTCCTTGAATATATATTTTGTTGCGCATTATCTAAATGAATGTAATCATTTTTGCTTATAATGCAAAATAGTCTTTTATGCTCGATTATCTTATTTTTTTAAGTATTAGTGGTCTTAATATAATTAGCTACTGATAAGTACTTCCTTCTCTTTTTAGATGTAAATGATTGGGTGTGTCCAGATTCAGTAAGTTACGTTTCAATCAAGTTCGTTTAAATAAATGCATATCTTGTTAGTAATAAATTTTCCCTGTTTTTATGTTCGTTCCATCCTGAGCTTTCATGTCGGTTAGGCGGATATCAATAAAGCGTATTGTAAAAACCTAAAGTGAACTGATTGTTTTTTTTTAAATGCAGAAAACCTAAAAATTATTCATACTTCTTGGTGCCACTGTCTAGTTGATGGTTTCATTATCCAAATAATTCACGCTTACGTTGTAGCAGGTTGAATATACCATCTTAACCCTCATTAGAGCTTCTCAAGTACCAGTAAGGTGTAAAATGGAACGAAGGGTGTGTAAATAAACTATCAAAACATAAAGAGATAAAATTTATTGAGTAATAAAATGTTTAATATTTGCTGAAATATGTGCTTATCTAAGTAGCCTTAAGGTGTTCCGGTGAGACTATAATTTTTGGTCAAACCAATAAATTTTAAGATGACAAGTCCTGGATTTAGGCGTGAAATTCATCGGTCCATTTGGTTAAATAACATATTGGTATCATAGCTGATGTCGGTTCGTAGTGAAAAACCTCAACACTTATTCCTGACCCTTCTAACTCCAAATACTAATTCTAATTATTCACACTAATCTATTGCCAACCCCGGACCTTAGTAAGCAAGTGAATTTTATCTGGGTCATTTCAGCGTCGCTTTAAGGTCGCACATGTATCATAGTCAATATTTTCAGCTTCTGTTGTCTGTGATTTCACTAACTCCGTTCATTAAGTCTACCATTCAAAGCCACTACACGTTCTAATTGTGACAAAATCAAGTAGTGCTATTTTTCGCCTTTACATTGTTTCCAACATTATTCTTACATCTGATGGTTTCAGTGTTCATATATTTTTCAGGCCTCATATCAGTTCATGAGTAAACAAATGTGTGGACCAGATATGTGCATTCAGGCTGCTAATCAAGGCTACATGCTGTGCGATGCTGGAATTCATGATTGCTACGTAGTGAATGATTCTTATCAGTGCAAGAAAGGAGTTCCACTCATAGATTCTTGTGAGTATTTGGTTAAATGTAAGTTTCGTTTCTGTTTCAGCTTTTGATTGAACGTTATTTGTATTCAATAAAATTGACTTGAAATATAAAACAAATATGCATCCTATTTTTTCTATTTCGTGACTCTTCTATAGCACTATAATCTCGAAAATATTTATTGCATTGGTAGCTTCATTATATTCGTAATCGATGTTTCGAGACGTCGGAATGATATGGCCTAAAATCGGTTGTACTACCCAAGTTAACTTCATTCTTTATGTCATGTAGATCTTGATTTTAGTGTGATGCCATACTTTTTATTTTTCAATCGCATTCGATCCTTGTGAAATATATTTCTTGTGTCTAGTTTTCAACTAAATATCATCTTCCCTTTTCTAATTCATTGTTAGTTTTCTTTCTGGTTGTTATGATATGAGGTGTAACAACTTCGGTCGATATACATTTGCGGTAAATCCCACGTTGTCTATAGATAACTATTATTCCACAGAATTTTTCAATGCAGTTAACAATTTTTAAGTCGAATTCTCGAATTGCCTCATGGTTTTTAGGCATGAATGATTTTAATATCGCTGGCTTGGTAGCTATTAAAATAGTCGGTTTAATTTTTAATGAATCAATTCAACTTTTGGCTTAAACATATTGTAAGATTAAAATTCCCAGTTGTATGTAGTATCGATACTCTCCTGTTTGGCCTATTTTATGCCATGATATAATATCGATATTATCATTTTGCATGTATCAGCAACGTAGTTTCTTATAAGTTATCTATCAATAATTACATATGAAATATGCTGCATCCCTGTTTATTACTGCTTTTACATTTTAACTTGAAATAACCTAGGCCAAGTAACAGGGAGTAACTAACACAAAGTCACTATGTCTCAGTCAGCTAAGAATGTAGACCTTCCTACGTACGTACATCAGTTCAAGTCACCATACCACATTAGCACAAAGAGATCGAATTGTCAATTCAAATCCCATAGTGATATATGTAGTAAAAGTGTTAGCAGTTATGGAGAAGATTAGGTTTCGACGATATAATTCAAGAAGTAGGATCTAGTGAAGCAAACCCAAAAAGAAAAAGATAAAGGTGATGCGGAACTCTGAAGGTCATCATTTGAGAAAATACAGAATGAATGTTAGCTACGCCATTGCAAACAATTTTGTGCCATGTCATTCAGGGCCTCTAAGCATCGATCACGATCATCTCGCGGGCCCCAACCAAGTAGTCGACACTTACCAACATGGCTCAGTCCACTTGTCAGTGACTTCATGGATTTGTGCCATGTTTTAGTTTTGCCACCCCTGGCTTTCTTCCAGCCCACCTCTATACCACAAAAGAGCTCGACGAGGCAGTCGCTGGTTGGGCATACGCAACACATGTCTCAACCACCTCAACTGAAGATGTTTTAATACTTCATCAATTGATCTGCCCTCCTTACCTAGTACTCGTCCCCTAACGCAGCATTACTTACTCGGTTGTCCGGAGATATACGAGCAATGCTCGGAATACATTGATGATCGGAAACCAGTAACCTGGGAGTGTCCTCCTGTCTCACTGAATTATACTTCTCAAATCATATCTTCGAACCCTAATCTTCTCCATTACTGCTAATACTTCTACTATCGCCACTACTATGTGATTTTAATTGACAGTTGCGTCTCTGTGCTGATGGGGCATGGCAACCTGAACTGATGTACGTACATACGAATTTCTGTGTTGTATCTGTCTGTCTGTCTACTGGCTATGTTTCACACCCGTACAGTAGGACTGACCGAACTGCTGCGCAGTACACACGTACTTTGGTTAGCAGACTGATATCTCGCCTACGCCATGAGTGATGCAAGTTGGCAAAAGCCAATCGAGTTCTGTATGTCCCTGCTGAGATTTCGTCAGTCATCAGGCTATCAGCACTGATGAGACTCCCGAGATAAGTGAAGCGGTATACGTGTTCGACTACTTCACTCCCTATCACTAGTTCAGGTGCCAATGTAGGCCAATCTCGAAGCAACATTTTGCATTTCAGCTGTTATCGCATGCCGAACATGCTCGCATTGTTGCTTAGGGTAGCCAGAAGACTGCATTTTGTCAGCTTCGGCAAGTAGGACTAAGGCATCAGCATATTCTACGTCAACAAGCGATTTTCCTGCTGGAAGGTGTACTCTTGAAAATTCGGACGAAGATAATGGTATATCTAGGAGTATGTCCATGATAAAATTAAACAAGAACGGAGGAATTGAACATACATGGCACACACCACTTGAAGTAATCGATTCCAATGACAGTTCGCCATGAGCTCTAACTCGACCAGTGGTGTTCGAGTAGAGAGCTTGTGTACGTTTACTGTACTTCTTTAGTATTCCTTCCAATGACAGACACTGCCGCAGAACCTCTCAATCCACAGAGTCGAATGCCGCCTTAAGGTCCAGGAAGACAACTATTGTAGGACGCCTAAATGTGTGTCTGTGTTCCAGGACCTGTTGTAGTGAAAAAAGTGTGGCTGAAGGCCAGTTGAACTGATCCCTAAAGTGTTCTGCCCATCGATACAATCTGCTTAATTGAGAATGAATAATAGTCCCATCCTTATCCGAGATTGTCTCATTCACATTCGGATTCCTAATATCGGTTTCCTTGATAAGACGGAACAACTGTCTGCTGTTGCCTATCAGTCTGTTGCTTTCTACTACATTTTTCATAGCAGTACGATAAACCTTCTAATCTTAAAGAATTCCTTGTCGAGTATATATTCAATTAGACTTCGGCTCTTGAATAGGAGTATTCTTCGCTACTTATTCATTGGTTGTACGATAATTTACTCTGTCAATTCTTAACAATATTATCTCCTCATTTGTTGCATTGTTTAGTTATTTATTTTAACACAATTAATGTATTATAACATGAAATACTAACATGTGTTGAAAGTACGTTTATATATCTTGAGCTTTATTCTAATCACATTTGGTTTTAAACAGTTTAACATAATCTCTTTTTAAGCTCTGTTAAAATAACTGTAGTTCAATGAAGCGAGATCGCATGTTAGTTTCTGGTCGAGTATCTAATAATCCCTTACGACCTCCGAGTCTTCGTACAAAGAAGCACAAGGGTAATTAAATAGGTGCTACCTCATTTTTGCTCTTTATAATTTTATTCTATGGTAGTACCAAATGTCTGTACTAAACATCTACTGCTATCGCTTCATTGGTAGCTACTAAGATTTTTTATTGTTTATTTTCTTAACAAAGTTGAGGCTTTGGTGTTCACATTTTTTACTACCTTGCAGATTTTAATTGGTTGTGTCCAAATGTTTCCAGCAATTCCTCTGAAATTTATGTAAGTTTGTTTGTTCTCAGTATCAACATAGTTCTTAAATAAATGCAAATAAAACTTTTCGTTTTTGGCACTCTTTTATTCAAAATATAACTTATTCCATTCGTCAAGTTATGAAAAGCCCAACGATTACAACTTTCTCGATACAGGCAAGGCTGCCGATGTGTAATAGAAAAGATTACAACCATTTCGTTACTTCAGGGTTTTGTCGCTCTAATGCCTGTAGAGATGAACTATTAAGTAATGATCTCCAAATATTCGATATGCGTTTAATACTGCTGTACTAAATACCGATTTTGTGAAGATTGCATCAATTGATAATGCGTTTTAGAATAGTTTACTATTCTTATCCATACGTATGTTATTTTTCACTGTTCATGTGACTTTTGAGCGCATTCAGTCATTGTATAAATGACTCTTTTCATTTAGAATTACGGACGGAGTCTTCATAGTATTTCATACAATGCCAAAACTCTATATCGTCTAAATCCGGATTATATTCTGAATTTCACGTCTAAATTCACTGATAATGAAATCAGACAACAGCTTGCTAACAACAGCGTGTAAGTAACATGTTTATTTTGAACTGTATATGAAGTGTATTAAATACTTAAACTTTAATATATTCCGCTCTTCCAACTCTTACGTATCATCTCAGAAGAGCAAAAATGCAGAAAAGGTTCATAAGCAGCGGCTATAAGTAACACTAGTAACTGAGAACTGGACGTCATTCCATCCGACTGATCTGGATTGCTGACTCCTAGTTTATGAGAAAGCACTGTTAGTTAATCATTTTCATCAATATAATGTCTCTTATACAAGCCTATGTAAACGGGCATCGATTTTTTGTTCTATGGAGCTAACAAATAAGGGATTACCAAGCTGGTATCAGATGTAGACGTGAATGTACTAACCAGCTATTCCCTCTTCGCCAAGTTTTATCATAGGCCTACTTACCGACCTTCGACCATAACTGTATCACATGGCCCTAAGGCAGCGTCCAGTTTAGTTGACTCGGAGGTTTTTTGTCACTGTCTGTCATCGAAATATGTACCAATAAAAGTAAATATCACCTCATGACTGCTCTCTCTTTAAACACTATTAATCGAGTCGCATTTGCTGGAGAATTGCCACCAAAATTGTTATCTTCAAGTGGTGTTCGTAAGGGTTGTTCACTGTCCCTCTTTTATTTAGTTACTATCTTCTTGAAATCACTTCCTCCACGGGATCTTCAGGATTTGATCTTTTTCCAAGGTACACTTGTTGACTTAGACTACACCGATGATGTTACTCGGTTTATCGATAGCGTCGATAGAATAGACCGTCTTCTAATGGTCTTGAGTAACAGTGCAAGAAGGTTTGAGATTCTTCTCTTTCTCTCTCTCCGTATTCAGAATCTGGCTCTGGACAGGTCTGTATCCGTTACGCTCGTCAATTAACATGCTTGAAACTATTACGAGTTCACCTTAGTCGGTAAACGAGAACGAAGACAAATGATCCAGCGACACGGTAGGCTACTCTAATCCGAGCGTCCCAAGGCCCCACTAATTAGAGGAAGAAGTCTTGACAAGCCGTAGGAAGTGTATTCTACAAGTACCAAGAAAATATGAGGTTAACAAGCACACAAATCGAGTTTTTTTTATACAAGAAAGAAGCGTCCTTGGGTGAGCCACAAAAACACTACTAAAGAAAGAGAATATTCTTACGTTAATACTGATTGATGATGGAAATTTTGAAACTTTGCTCGCGTGTATTTGGACCATCGAGTGAGCGATTCTGAGTTTAGACCCAATGTGTTACGTGGATTAAACGAACTGGTTGATGCAGGTTGCTCATAGTCTCTTATAGTTGTACAGTTTCTTCGTCTATTCTTTGTCTTGTTTAGACCTTGTGTTTCCTTATTCATCATATGTACTACTTTGACTTCTTCTCTTACCATATTTCTAATTCTTTTTTTCGAATCCATCAGTATTTATCTTGCTAGTTTCATCTCATCGTGCTATTGTGATATGGCAACGTAGGCCCACCTACATAGTTGACTCGCTTCCCGACCATAGCTGCTCCCTTGTCGTGTTGGTTGGCCTTGCCTATCGTGATGATCCAACCGAGCTATATTGGCTGGAACATATGTTCCTGTAGGTTCTTCGATTCCAGGCACGTCGATTAGTGAACGGTAAGACGGAAGGAAGGGTTAGAAAAGGTCGACCCTAAAAATGTCCCACCTCACCTTACTTCACGGATTTCCGTATCCGATGCTAAGGCATTTTAAACAAGAGCGGAGCTAACACTTTAAGTACCCCCATAAAAAGGCCGTGAGTGACCGACCTCAAGCAATTGGACCCTTGGACTCTGCGGTCACGCTCCCAGGTCGTTAAGACCAACACTAATCTACCTTCCTTTTCAGATTCCTCAAGATACACCCACAGTGTGGGCAGCCGGGAAGTGACATCCACCCCGATAAGTGAAATAGCACGCGAGACAAAATCGGTCGCAATCAAATCCTTTCTACACCCCCTAACATCTTTCTTATCTCCACGATCAACTCTTCTCACATTCCTTTATCAACCCGTACCGCCAATGCAAACGATGTGAGTTCACGAAACACCATTCCTTGTCTCCTGAAACACAGTTGTTGGAGCATTTGATGTATGAACATTGTGTCAAATTGGGCAACAGGCTTAGCTAGGATTTTAGAATTTCGTGCCACCGATGTATTTGATTTTACCTTGTCAAAATAAAGAAGTAGCTCGATTTACTCTTCGTGTATATGGAAGCCCTGAAGCTGCTTACCAGGGTCTCGCTGGCATAGGTATTGCATTTAGTCCTAGGGCCGAACTAGTGCTCCTAGACTGGATCCCGGTCGATAGTCGCTTGTGCGCTGTCCGACTGAACGTGACAGTAAGGACTCGGAAAGATATGACCTCGTCCAAATGGTTAGGCACTCTGATATAGTGATAATGGCTGGTGACTTCACTGTTCAAGTAGGTAGACTGAGTGAAAAGGAAAGACACCTGGGTGGATCTTATGGTGTCGTGGCTCGAATATCATATAATGGTGACCGTCTGCTGCAACTATGCTCAGATAATCTCCTATTTCTAGAAAATAATAATCTTCAGCATAAGGAAAAGCATCTCTTGACATGGCAACCCCCTAAGCGGACCCAACAATGAACCCAACTAGATCACGTAGCTGTCACCCACCGAAGGAGAGGTTCAATAGGAGACTGTCACTCGTTCTGGGTCACATGTTTAGATTCAGATCATGCTCTAGTACGAGCTCGTATTCGCCTGGTGACTTTAAGGCTCATGTAGGTATACTAAGTGAAAAGGAAAGACACCTGGATGGATGTTAAGGTGTCGCTGCGACTGTCTGCTGTAACTGTGCTCAGATAACTACCTATCTATAGCAGACACTAACATTAGGCATAAGGATAAACATCTGTTGACCTGGCAACCCTCAAAGTCGTCACAACGCTGGACCCAACTGGATAAAATCTCCATCAGCCACAGATCGAGGACTGTCGCTCGTTCTGGGTCACATGTTTAGATTCAGATCATGCCGGAGTGCGAGCGCGTATTTGTTTGAGTCTTACTGGACGTTGGAAAAATATCCCAATGAAACCTCTTAATGCTCTACTTAATGATAATAGAGCTAAGAATATATTTCAGGAACAACTAGAAAAACAGCTAGGCGGCAATGTAAGTGATTCCCATCCGGAAGCAGCTTGGAGTGATATCGAAAATTCCGTGAAAACTGCAGTAATATCTGCTAGCAAGGTAAAGCATAAGACTAAGAACAAGCCGAAGTTCTCAATAGCATCCAAAGAACTGATAGACGCTGGTAATTACATCCCGCTTCGCAATGATCGTGAACGGTGGTGGAGAGCAAAAGTAAGGGAGACGGAAAAGACAGTGGAGATAGGTAACAGCAAACAGTTGTTTCGACTTATCAGGGAAACCGGTATTAGAAATCTGTCTGTTAGCGACGCTATCTCAGAAAAGGATGGCTGTATCATTTGTTCTCAATGTGGGAGATTGAATTGATGGGGAGAACACTTTAGGGATCTGTTCAACTGGCCTTCTAATACACTTCGGTTACCCACGATCTCCAGTCATGTAAGTCCGCAGATTCTTTGCGAAGCTATGGGAAATCTGAAGCAAGGAGAGCAGCGGGACCTGATCGACTGAACCCTCTGATTTTGAAGGATGGTGGTCCAGTTTTAGCAGCTAGGTTGACTGAGATCTTGGGTAGAATTTGCGAAGTGGGCATAATACCATCTGACTGGTCTCAATCACTTATTGTCCCAGTCTATAAGAAAGAACAAAAGTCTTGTGACAATCAAATGAATCAGTTTGACTAATATAACATCTAAAATATTGTCCCCAGTAATAATCCGATGTTTAATGAAAGCTCGTGAAGCGCAGACTGGAGAAAACCAGTTTGGTTTTCGACCTAGACGTGGATGTATAGACCAGATATTCACACTACGACAGGCTTTAGAACAAATACACACGACCAGACGCTCTACAATAGTAGCTTTTCTCGACCTTGAAGCGGCGTCCGACTCTGGATCGAGAGGTTCTGTGACAGTGTGTGTTATTAAAAAGGTGTACCGAAGAAGTACATTAACCGTACATCGGACGCTACTGGTCGAGTGAGAGCATGTTCGGGATGCGGTTTTACCCCTCGAAATGTAAAATGTCGCTTCAAGATTGGCTTGCATCGGCACCTGAACTAGTGATAGAGAGTGAAGTAGTCGAAGGTGTAGAACGCTCCACTTATCTCGAGAATCTCATCAGTGCTGATGACCTGGTGTCTGACGAAATCTCAGCACAGATACACAAGGCTCGATTGGCTTTTGCCAACTTGCGTCACTCATGGCGTAGAAGAGATATCCGTTCGCTGACTAAAGGACGAGTCTACTACTGTTCAGCAGTTTGCTCCGTCCTACTATATGGATGCGAAACATGGCCAGTAAGAGTAGAGGAGATTCGTTGGTTATTAGTATTCGATTAAAGGTGTCTCCGAAGCAATGCTCGTGTATCCTAGGACAACCGAGTAAGCAATACTGTTGTTAGGAAACGGATGCTAGGTCACTGACAAGTGGACTGTGTTATGTTGATAGATGTAGGCTATCTGTGAGACAAAAGTAACCGATGGTTAGAGACGTTCAGCGATATGGCTCAAAACCGTTTGCAATGACGCAGGTGCATTCTTTCATTCTGTTCTCTCCAACTCTAATCTTCTGAATTCCTCATCATGTCTTTCTCTCTCTCTCTCTCCTTTAAGTTATCTGACTGAATGAAACTTTTCGAGTCATATCTTCGTTCCCTAATCTTCTCCATTACTGCTAATACTTCTACTATCTCTACCATTATGGGATTTGAACTGGCAGTTGCATCTCTGTGATGATGGGGTATGGCAACCTGAACTTATGTACTTATGTACTCATGTACTAAGTTCTATGTTGTAACTGATTGGCTGACTCGCTTAATTTTGATTGTGACTGACTGATCATTTGATATAATTTCTAAACTAGGTTGTTTGATTGTGAATATTTATAAAAATTATACAGTCCAACTGATTTAGTTCTTGTAAATATATTCGTGATCTATAGATTTCGTGCTTATCACGCCCTGTTATCTATTTGCAACTTCTCGAGTTAGTCCTTATTTTAAATGTTAAGATAAATCGTTTCTTTCTATTGACCAAATTAGTGAAATCGTTACAATTTTTTTACCATTCAGAGCCATCTAACACTGCAAAGTTTCTGCATGAGTTTTAATACACATCATTACTCCTGAATTCATTGAAATTTATTTCAGTTCTGAACGTCATTCAATTGCTAGACAATTACTAGACAGCATGAGATTTGCATTAGATATGACTCCCACCCTTCTTGCATCTGATCATAATTGGTCTACTAACTCTTCGGTAAATTCGGAATTCTCATCGATCCTGACTTTAAAAAAGCTTCAAACAGTCTCTATGTTTCTCCATTTAATCGCGGAAATCGCTCGTCAGACTCCTTCTGTTATCAATTTACTAAGACGCGGAGAAGAAAATGAGAAAGGTTTACGATTCTGGGTAAGTATCTTTTACTTTAAAACAATTAGTCCCTTTTATAAATTTTGATAGAACCATGAGAAGACGTAATTGATCTAAAAAATGTGATGTATTTGCTCTATACATTTATATACATCTCTGTAATACGTTAATATTCCATTTACAATTATCGCCTTATGTCTATTTAGACTTTTAGTTAATTGACCTTAGTTTAATTTCATATAAAATGCCTTGACAAATTACCGAATTATTCGCAATGTGTAGCACAAATACATCACATTCTTCAGGTCAGTTACGTCTACACATTGTTCTGTCAAAATAAGTATTTCTTGCCTACTGCGCCTTTTCATCATTCTAACTGAAAAATGCTCGTGAGTCTCATGTTCGAATCAAACAAATGTCCAATTATTATTGGTTTTCAGTTATTCTAAAGCTAGTGTTACAGTGATTTTGAATTAGATAATCTTCACAAATCTGATAATAAAGTTTAGCTTTATATTATTTTCTTAGATTGATATATAGTTATAAACCATCTTGTACGTTTAGTCGATTAATCGACATTACAATGTGGTCATTTTAGTATACCAATGTTGCAGTTTCATGTAGCTAAATTTATGTTCACAAAGATCTATTTTGAAATATTGAATTTCCCATTTACACTGAAATTAGTTTCACTTTAATTCTACTAGCTTTTATCAACAGCTTTGTCATTGTGTACTTTTGCTATAAATGTGAGGCATTCCCTTTATTTATGAAAGCCACCTTCGTGTCCACTCATTCAAGATTACCTATTTATGCCTGTTAACCTTTTTTCATGTCTGTCTCCAATTCTCGGCACAATTTGTCCCTTGGTTAACCTCTTTCCCTTTGGCCCTGAGAGTTCCAAGTTAGGGCTTGCCTCGCAACACAGTTGAGTGATTTCCTCTATGTGTATCCTATCCTTCCAGGTCTTGTTTTTAATTTCTTCCTCAGCTGTAATCTGGTCTCTTCTCACAGCAGGTTGTTACTGATGGTGTCTGGCCAACTTATCCGGAGTATCTTGTGTAGACAACCGTTTACAAATATCTGTATCTTGTGGAAGATGACTTTGGTAGTTCGCCAACTTTCTTCTCCACACAATAGAACGGTTTTGATGTTTCTATCGTAAATTGTGTTTTGTTGTTGGTTAACAGTTGCTGTGTTCTGGATGTTTTTCAATTGTAGAAATGCTACTTTTGCTTTGCTAATCCGTGTCTTCACATCTGCATCACGTTTCTCTTGTCCAAATGGTCCAACTGTATCTGAGCTGTATTCTGTGCTTCCACTAAGATTTTGACGTCTTCATAATCCCGTCCACCATCAGGAAAAATATAAAGGGTGAGAGTAACCAATCTAGTCTGACACTGATTTTCACTTGAAATGAATCTGTGAGCTGTGTTACATGCACGATCTTGCAGTATAATCCATACAATAAACCTCGTGCTCATTATCCTTGATGTTCACAATCTTTATATCTGCTGTTTATGTATTATATTTTTTAGCATATATCTCCAGATACTGGTAACATAACGATGAATAATTCGCAGGGGAAATTGATCAAGTTTTCTATGAAACCAAAGCAGTCAGGTTAGATGCTAACTATTCAAATTTCTTATGTCCACAAAATTAAGGGTTACTTTCATTCAAACCGTTTTATTCCTATGTGACATTTGAATCTTTTTGTGGTTTTTTAAGTTCATAGTTTTTAATCACTTCGTAAATGGGCTACATATATATTTACTTATGAACCAAAATCGTTTCCTTATTCCGTAATTTAATGTATGATATTTTCATTGATTTGTGCTACTGATAAATTTTTCCTATGGACCATCATACTAGTCGGAAGTATTGAAAGTTCTTAAGTAACTAACGGAAGATTTTTATATCGCAGTTGTAAGCTGTTGGATTATTACATCGTTGATATTCAGGTTTCTACATTGGTGTATGCATGATGTGCGGATTCCATTGAGAAAGCTATTTTATATGGTTTTCGCAGAACAGATGGATTATAGCTAATAGTGTTATTTGGGACGCCAGTTTCCGTCCCATATAGACTTATTACCTGAAAGTACCTGAACTCCAATTCTGATATCCACATTCATTTTGTTTAAAGCCCGGACGCGTTATCCACCGTGCTAGTGAGTCGGACTCGACCGTGGATGCTAACTTGACGTGGTGGTCGGGCTTTCCTATCATGACGACCGGACCGAGCTATATTGGCCGACACGCATGTTCCTGTAGGTCCTACCATGCCAAGCAGGTCGATTGAAGAACGGTAAGACTAAATGCAGCTACTCAAGGACTGTGGGTGAAGTCATACTGCTGACTGCAGAGGGGTGTGACAGTAGTAATGTGTTTCCCTCGGGCGATCAGCATCTGCGGAGATGCTGGTGCGATGCGATCTCAAAAAATGTCACACCTAACCTTACCTCACGGATTTGCGTCTCCGACGGTAAGGTCTTTTAAAATGAGCGGAGCCAGCACTCATAAAAAGGCCGTGTGCAACCTACTTCAGACAGTTATTCCTTGAGTTTTAATGGTAGTCTTACTGCATGTTCTGCTTAGAATATCACTTTGTATCTAATCATTTAACGTTTCATTTCTTTCATTAACATAGAATTCATAAAATTAATGCAGTTTCTATCTTTTTTTCTGGTATTGTTTAATCTTACAGAAATCCTCGATACATTCATTGCAGTCATTCCAGCAACCTACTTTCCAGGAGTTTTGACTCAACTTGACAATATTAAAAAGGTGACAACACCATCCTTAGACTCAGATGTCGTATTGGTCGACACAAACGACGGTGTATCTTTCACTCTCTCTGTAGACTTATCTCAGGTGATGGTGTATAACTTTAGTATTTCTTATCTGTTTTTGCATTAAAGTTTGAAATTTTAATTTATTTACTTTTGCAAATTATGGATTGCTTACGTTAATCTGGTTAAATGGCCTTTATTTACAATTTAATGGGATATCAGATTGTTAATGTTTTGAACCAGTTCTCCGTTCAATATATATATATATATATATATATATATATATATATATATATATATATATATGTTAGTTCCTTAAAAAGGTTTTCGTTTCCTTAAGTAGTTCAATTATATCTTTGTGTGCTACAAAGTGTATGTGACCGATTGAGTAACCTACAAAATTGATTCTTCTGAATCTCATTCATTTGGGTGCAAATGTTATCACTGGATTATTATTACATTCATTATTCTTAATGTTAGCAATATTTTTTTGTAGTCATTAGTTGAGCATATTTTATATCATGTTGGATTGTTATTCTATGACGCATGTGAGTTTGTCCATCTTCTAAGGATAAAACTGAATGTCTTAGGATTCTACGATTGTTTGTAGTATCTTGCATCCCCTCAGGATATTTGATACTTTGGTATATGTTAGTTTTTTTTTCTTTATCGCTTAAAACTGATTAATATTTGTGTTTTAGAAACCGAACATCACCGTATCATGTGAACAATTCAGACAGAATCCGTGAGTTTAATCCTGCAACTAATTACATCGTACTTTGCTGTTTTGTAGTATTTCGTTTATCCTAGACTGTACTAATCACCATAACTTTTTGAACTCACTATACCAATTCATGAGTCTTCAAAATAATCTAGGAGAATTACATTTTTTATTGTGTTTATATGATTATAATCTGGCTATTCCCCACTTTTCATTGTTAAGTGACTTAATTATCCATTTTTGAAACCATGAATCGATCAATGTTAGACCAGCATTAGAAACCTGGAAGCACTGGACGGCCGTTTCGTCCTAGTATGAGACTCCTCAGCAGTGCGCATCCACGACTCCTGCACCCCGCAGGATTCGAACCCAGGACCTTCGGTTCTGTACGCGAACGCCCTAACCGTTAGACCACTGAGCCGATATCTAACGGTGTTAATGTCTAACTTGATCAAATTCACGGAGTTGCGCAACCTCATACACAGTCTTCGGTAGACACTGCCTACACCCGAACAGGTTGAACTTCACTGGTCACGTCTTCCCACTAGAACTCGGTTAGGGCGTTCGCGCACAATACCGAAGGTCCCGGGTTCGAATCCTGCGGGGTGAAGGAGTCGTGGATGCGCACTGCTGAGGAGTCCCATACTAGGACGAAACGGCCGTCCAGTGGTTCCAGGTTTCTAATGGTGGTCTAACATTGATCGATTCATGGTTTCAAAAATGTGTGACTTAACAATCTTCACAACCTCGTAATGCAAATTACCTGTGCTCACTAGTGACTAGCTTCATGAGGAATCTTCTCCGAGTTAGTTAGTTTTTTTAATGATAATCCCTGTTTTTTGGTCGTCTTCAGTCACTTATGGTTTCCTTTCTTCTGGGGGAAAGTTGCAGAAAACATAATTCCTTTTGATGATTCTCCAATCTTATGGCGAAATTTTAACAATTTGCCGTACACAATTAATCTTACATAGACTTTGCTTGTTGAATTCATTTGAGACAACAATATATTTTAATTCACGTTTATCTTACTTTATGAACAAACGTACATGTACTTATCAAAAACTCATGAATTTTTTGTCCCTTTGAACTAGTATTATTTATCATTCTGATTTTTCAACTGAGTAATTTGTTGTGGTTATGTGATCATGAATTTATTGATGACAGTTTTGCTCGATAGATTAGCAATTGATTTATGCTAAAATTTTATGTCCTCTCGAACCCTGATGTATTAATTTTATTTTTAATGTTTATGGTTTTTTTAATTATCGCTATTACAGTACCGTAACAGATTTGGTATGTGAGTCAGTTAGTGTTTGTCATCCTACAGGGTGAAAATTAATACTGATGCTTTGTTTCAAAATCTCACACCTAGTTCTTATTATGCTCTCCTTTCAACTAGTGAATTCAGAGAACTGTGGAATGATGGAAATTGCAAAACAATTGTTGTTGGTTCTAATTTTGAATGCCAATGTCTTCCGACTCAAGGTGGAACATTCGCAATCGCGTTGGTTTACTGGCTAGGTTCATCACATGTAAGTAATGTTTACATGTTTACATTGGATTAACAGTTCCAGGCTGTCAATCATGATAGTAGCTTCGTTTCTTCAACTATTTGAGTTTCGAAATACTCATTAAAACTGTTCAACTTCCCTGTAATTTTTAAACTACGAAACAACGTTCTGTTTCTGTTCAAATGTTTTATCATCAAATTAAATGGCGTTTTAATATTCTGAAATGTTTTTATTTTTAATAACCGCTCCAATTGCTACTTTCTTTTATTTTCAGATTCCATTAACCAATGAATACTCCATAAGTATTGTGAATTATATCTTTATTTTCGTAACTATTGTCGCTTTATTCCTGTTTCTTATATTCACGCGTTTCATGTAAGTCAGTAATCTGAGTATTTTTTTTGACTATAGTTGCTTTGTAAAACATTCATTATAGTAAATTTCGTTATATACCTGATAGTCAGAAAGTGCAGAGAATATTTTGCTCAATTTGGGATATGATCAAATAATGTTACACCTAGAATAACCTTACTCATACTCCACTATTTCAAAATGATGGTCGATGTAATAATTAATTAATTATGATAAAGGACTGCTGGACATTGCTCTAATACGAAAATTATTTTGTGTTGTATTTTATGAAGACTAGGATTTCTTGCGATTCGAAAGTCATTGTAGTTACTAAACGCTTGAAGCGTCCTTAATGTTTCATAATAAATCATTATCAACTGTTTATCATTCAGATGTTATACAAATTTATTGACAGGAAGGATTATTAGCCATCATAATCATTAGTAATCCATCTATTATGACACACATTTCCCATTATTCAAAGTCATTCCCAACTTTATAATGAGGCTCTTATTTAACAGTCACTGAAGTTGCCAAATGTATGACTTTTTACTTTATTAAAGACGAAATGCATTTTCCTTTCACTAACTCGTCGTTAAGAAGAAATGTTTCGTCACTTTATTTCCAATAATTTGTTAAGTTTACTAATTCGTTATGATTTATATCAAATTTATTCTGACATTATGATTATAATTCTGTCTTAATGAATGTGCTTCATTTTTCCTAGGAATGAAGTTTATGATATAGTTTCAGTCAATCGCTCTTACTTAACATGAAACCTGATGAATATGTTCATCGGTTCAGATTGTTACACCAAATCAGGGCACTATTTTTGAGCAGTAGAATTAGCATGAGTACTATATGTAGGAGAAAAGATTAGATGTAAACGTTGTAACTCTAAAAAAATGTCTACGATCTTGAAATAAAAGACAGCATAAAATAATTTTAAAACTGAAAGTTTATGGTAAGACGATGAATGAGTAATCGTATTTGTACAGCTGAAATTGATTCTGAGCCATTTAATACAGTGTCTCCAACCACTGACAGCACTTATCGCACTGACTCCAAGTGATTAGTAGTTTCCATCTTCCGACATGGCTCAAATCAACAGACATTGACTTCATGGGCCTATGCCACCCTAACTTCCCTCCCACTAAACAGCACACGGTGCTCGTGCAAATATGCGGTGGTTAGGCATATTTAGAATATGTTCTGACCACCTTATGAAGATTCAAAACGCCAACTCCGTGTAATCCATGTATTCCTCTGCGTCTATCCTCAGCAATCCTCACTTGTTGAACCCAAATATTAGGGAAAACGTAAAATAACGGATGTTCCGGTCAATAAAGGTTGGCCAAGTCATCACAATAGGTCAACTTGATAATCATATCAGGGTAGCGGATACGGTCGCGCAGTATGCAGTATATTAATTTCTATTTTGCGATTCGTGTGACCCTTATAGTCTTTTCCTAAGAATCAAAGATGAAACAAGAGCTTGTGAACAAGCACTAACTTTTTCGCTTCAGCTTTTTAAGAGTATAAACTCATTCGTTAATCGCTACTAGCTTATTATGATTGCGTTTGCTATGCAATGAATAATGCGTACAGTTGGAATATAGATCCTGGGAATATAATTTTCCTGAAAAATATTTCGAATTTTATTGAGATTATAACTTCTCTTCATATTTCTGATATTTTTAGTGGAGTTTTCCGTTTGGATCAGTTCAACATTGCTTTTTGTTTGATGATTAGTGCAATCGTTTCTCTGGCGATTCCACATACAAGTGATAGGCAACCAATTTTGTGCACTATCATTGCGGTTGCAGTTTGCTATTTCCCATTGGCAGCCTTTTCATGGAAGTTTATATTTGGCTTAAATACATTAATACTAATGTAAGTTACAATTATCTCCTTTCTGATACGTTTTAAGAGCGAATCCTTAATTTTAGACTACAAATATCAAAAAGCAATCAATCGATCAAAAGCAACGTCGAACTTCGTACGTACGTACATCAGTTCATGTTGCCATACCACATTAGCACAGAGATGTAGTTGTCAATTCAAATCCAATTCTAGTAGAGAAAGTAAAGGTTTTAGTAGTAGTCGCAGAGGTTAGGATTATTATTATTCAAGAAGTAGGATCTTGTGGAAAAGACTTAAAAAGATAAAAATGAAGTGATGGAGAATTAAAAAGTTTAGGATTTAAGAGAACACAAAGAATCAAATGCACCTACGTCATTGCAAACGGTTTTGAGCCATGTCATTCAGAGTCTCTAACCATCGATTACGAACATCTCGCGGACCCCAACCAGGTAGTCGACATCTACCGACATGACTCAGTCCACTTGTCAGTGACTTCATGGATTTCTGCTATGTTTTGGTCTGGCCACCCCTTGCTTTCTTTCAACCTACTCCTACACCACAAAACATACCTCATCAAGGCAGTCTGTGGTTGGGCATTCGTAACATATGTCCAAACAACCTCAACTGATGAATTTTCACTACTTCATCTATTGGTCTTCCGTCCTTACCTAATACTCGTTTCCTAACAACAGCGTTGGTTACTCGGTTGTCCTAGGGTACACGAGCATTGCTTCGGAGACACCTTTAATCGAATACTAATAACCAACGAATCTCCTCTACTCTTACTGGCCATGTTTCGCATCCATATAGTAGGACGGAGCAAACTGCTGAACAGTAGTAGACTCGTCCTTTAGTCAGCGAACGGATATCTCTTCTACGCCATGAGTGACGCAAGTTGGCAAAAGTCAATCGAGCCTTGTGTATCTGTGCTGAGACTTCTCCAGACACCAGGTCATCAGCACTGAACAGATTCCCGAGATAAGTGAAACGTTCCACACCTTCGACTACTTCACTCCCTATCGCTAGTTCAGGTGCCGATGCAAGCCAATTTTGAAGCAACAATTTACATTTGGAGAGGTAAAACCGCATCCCAAAACATGCTTGCATTGTTGCTTAGGGGGCACGTCTATGATAAAGTTAAAAAAGAATGGATAGAGTGGAATGCCCTGACGCACACCATTTGAAGTAAAGAATTCCAATGACAGTTCGCCATAAGCTCTCACTTGACAAGTAGTGTTCGAGCAGAAAGCTTGTGTAATGTACTTCTGTGGTACTCCTTTTGATGACAGACACTGTCACAGAATCTCACGATCAACGAAGTCGAATGCCGCCTTAAGGTCCAGGAAGACAACTATTGTCGGACGCCTGAATGTGTGTCTGTATTCCAGGACCTGTCGTAGTGTGAATATGTGGTCTGTACAGCCACGTCCAGGTCTGAAACTAGCCCAGTTTTCTGTAGGCTGCTGTTCACGAGCTCTAGTTAAGGATAACTAAGGCCACGATATCCTTAAGGACACGATACTAGTTAGACTTATTCCCCTGTGATTTTCACAATAGGACTTTTGTCTTTTCGTATAAATTGGGACAATTAGCGACTGAGACCAGTCAGATGCGATTACGCCTAGTTCCCATATTCTACCCAAGATCTCGGTTATTCTAACTGTTAAAACTGGACCACCATCCTTAAAAATGTCAGGCATCAATTTATCACGTCCTGCTGCTCGCTCTGGCCTTAGATTTCCTATCACTTTCTCAACTTCATAAAGGGGACTTACTTCGACTTTCCATTCGAGATGAATAGGGATCGTGGACAACCAAAGTGTGGCTGAAGGTGAGTTGAAATGATCCCAAACGTGTTTTACCCATCGATCCAATCTCCTGGATTGAGAATGAATAATAGTTCCATCCTTTTCTCAGATATTTTCACCTAAAGTCGGATCCCTAATTACGGCTTGATAAGTCGGAACAAACGTCTACTGTTGCCTATCGCCGCTGCCTTTCCCATTGCTCTGACTTTCGCTACCCACTATTGTTCGCGATCGTTGCGTAGGCTTTTTATCAGCCTCTGCTTATGTTGACTTTGCTCTTCATCTTCAGATCCAGGTGGGATGAGTTTACGAGCGTCTATCAGTTCGGTGGATGCTACTGGGATCCACGGCTTCTTCCTACCCTTATAGTTGACCTTACTAGCAGATATCACTACTGAATCCACAGCCTTTTTGATATCATTCCAAGCTACCTTCGGATGGAAATCACGTACATGGTCGCATAACCGTCCTTCTAGTTGCTCCTGAAATATACTCTTACCTATGCTGTCGTTAAGTAGAACCCTAAGAGGTTTCCTCGCGGTGTCTTTCCTACGTCTATGCAGACGCAAACGAATACGCGCTCGCACTACGGCATGATCTGAATCTAAACATGTGACCCAGAACGAGCGACAATCCTCTATCGAACTTCCCTATCGGTGGCTGGTGACAAAATGATATAGTTGGGTCGAACGTTGAGACGACTTTGAGGGTTGCCAGGTCAACAGATGTTTATCCTCATGCCTAATGTTAGTGTCTGCTATAGATAGGTAGTTATCTGAGCACAGTTACAGCAGACAGTCGCAGCGACACCATAACATCCACCCAGGTGTCTTTCCTTTTCACTTAGTGTACCTACATGAGCCTTTAAGTCACCAGGCGAATACGAGCTCGTACTAGAGCATGATCTGAATCTAAACATGTGACCCAGAACGAGTGACAGTCCTCTATCGAACTTCCCCATCGGTGGCTGGTGACAAAATGATATAGTTGGGTTGAACGTTGAGACGACTTTGGGGGTCGCCAGGTCAAAAGATAATTTTCCTTATGCTTAAGATTATTATTTTCTAGAAATAGGAGATTATCTGAGCATAGCTGCAGCAGACGGTCACCATTATATGATATTCGAGCCACGACACCATAAGATCCACCCAGGTGTCTTTCCTTTTCACTTAGTCTACCTACTTGAACAGTGAAGTCACCAGCCATTATCACTATATCGGAGTGCCTAACCATTTGGACGAGGTCCGAAAGCTTTCTGTAAAACACATTTTTCACCTCGTCTGAACTGCAGTCAGTGGGAGCGTAGGCAGATACGACGAAGAGACAACGGCGAGTGTTCCTATCATTCCGAGTCCTTACTGTCACGTTCAGTCGGACAGCACACAAGCGACTATCGACCGGGATCCAGTCTAGGAGCACTAGTTCGGCCCTAGGACTAAATGCAATACCTATGCCAGCGAGACCCTGCTAAGCAGCTTCAGGGCTTCCATATACACGAAGAGTAAATCGAGCTACTTCTTTATTTTGACAAGGTAAAATCAAATACATCGGTGGCGCGAGATTCTAAAATCCTAGCTAAGCCGGTTGTTTCTTGAGGGACCTGAAAAGGAAGATAGATTAGTTTCGGTCTTAGGGACCTAGTAGCGTGATCTCAGAGCGCAAGGGACAGTTGCTTGAGGCCGATCACGCACGGCATTTTTTGAAGTTTTTAGAGTATCAGTTCCACTCTTAAAAGCCATTAGTGTGCACCCTTACCGCTGGAGACGGAAATCCGTGAGTTCAGGTGAGTTGTGATATTTTAGGGTCGACCTTTTCTAATCCTTCTCACAAGGAATTGTGAGAAGGCAACATCGCTGCAGATGCTGGTTGTCCGAGAGAAACACCTTACTGCTGTTACACCCCTCTGCAGTGAGCAGTACGACATCGCCCTCAGACCTTGAGTAGCTGCTTTTAGTTTCATCGTTCTCCAATCAACCTGCCTAGCATGATAGAACCTACAGGAACATATGTTCCAGCCGATTGGATCATCAGGATAGGTAGGCCTGACCACCACGTTAAGACAGCAGCTACGGTCGTGGAGATATAATCTCTGTAAGTGTCTTATTATCAAGTCCACCAGTAAACGTAATTTTAGTGGGTGGCCCGTCAAAATAAAATATCACAGTGTAATGGATATTTCCGTGAAATAAACTTCCATTGATTTTCCACGGTTTAATAAGCGGTCGTTTATATGTATCTTTAATTATTTGTTGCTCGGTAAATTTATCTTTTAAAATTCGCTTTCTAACCAATAGTCTTTCAGACCCAATATTTTCCGATTTCGTGGATTATATTTATGCTGTAAAATTGTACCTTTTGCTTATATGATACTCGTTAAATTATTCTAAATTATTCTACTAACCCCATTAAAGTATTTCTCTGTCTTTCTCTAATTTCTGCAGCATTGCACCACATTCTCGTTACCATGATCTTATTTCTAAACCGAGAAATTGTTTGCCTTTCGTTTGGGTCGGTTATTTAACTCCTGCCCTCATTATTGGGACATGGTTTGGTTACACAGGAGAAGTTAGTAACAGTGGTCTGTGAGTTACCATTTTTATATCCTCGATTATGTGTACTTGTGTTGCTTTATTACTCTCATATTTTTTGGGTTTCTTGGATAAACATTTCTTGTTAATCTGACATAATTCTTAATGCCCGTTCAGGTAGTTGTACTTTCATACCAGTGTTTCATGTTCCCGACAAAACTCGAACGCATAACACATCGTTGCAACAATACCAGACTATTTATTATTCCTTGGCTGTTTCAACGCCTGCAGTTACTGTTATAACTTATTTCGTATTTCACACGTTTATAAATCTAGACAGCCTATTATCTTACCAATGTATTCGAGTATTGCAAGTTTTGCTTTTTCGTTAACAATATTTTCTTTCTTACTTTTCTATTTCCAGCTGCATTGGTCCTAAAGCTCTTCGTTGGTCGTTTGTTGGTCCAATTACAATAGTTGTTGCCTTTAACTTCATTATTTTGTGTGTAGTTGGTTTCGTCCTACTCAGAAACTATCTTGTTACTCGCAAAAGTAAACTAAACAAAACAACGTACGTTTACTTCATTCATGATATTAAAAAATTTTCAATGAAACAGCCTACCACTCATGAAAGATTCTATATTATTCTTTAGAATCTATACGAAAGCTTTCGAATAACCAATATCATTAAAGAGTAAAACACAGAATGTCGTTATCGTCCATAAAAATCCTTTACCAGGTTTCATCTATGATTGGCTTCAAGGAAAGCCAAAGTATTATTTTCTTTTATCAAGAGCGATTTTACTCATCTCAACTATCATTACCGAGGTGTGACTTTTTAATAAATTGAACATTGAGTGAATTGTTATAGTAAAAGAATCATGCTTCATTTATAATATCCGAATGAGTAGAAAACTTGCATCTCGGTTTTAGTGCGGGTTGCATCTTCACAGGATATGTAACTGAACTCAGTCATTTTATGTTTGTTGATCAGCAGACAAACGACAATTTTTATTTCAAAGTCATTCTGCTATTCTGTCAGTTAACGTTAGTTTCCCTTGGTTCATTTTTGTATTAGTTTCCGTTTTATCGCAATTAGTTAGGATTTTCATCACCGTTGAGATGATTCTGAAAGCTGAGATTCATCAGAAAAATGACCGATTCCAATTTCATTACAAAATGTAATCATGTTTCTCATTCCATAAATTTACACTACTTTTCCGTTAATTGATTTCGCGATATTATAGTAATCAACATGCGTACAACATCGCACGTTCTAGTAAAAATTCCCATTTTGGAATTTAGTTAAATTAACGAATAGAGCGAAGAAATTTATTTTCAGTCAATTTTTCAAGACGATTGTCCACTTTCGATTCACTGGTAAATACTATAAACGATCGGATGGGGTAGCTGTTCGGTCACCGTTGCGACCTCGATTGCAAGACTTCTTTTTTCAAAACTGGAAAATGAACCGTTAAAAGAGACGCTCAAAAGCGTTTTACATAGAAAATCTATGTTTTAGATAATCTACTCATTTCTATAGTATGATACCTATCAGATATAAAAGAAACTCAGTAAAAATCCTGACCCATCCGTACCAGAATGATGAGCTCCGATGACACCACTGAAAATGAATTCAGTAATATTTGCAACCTATTTGGTAGGAAACTTACCAGGTCTTGCGCCGTATTCCGTCAAATCTACCACATGTCTTACGAGTCCATCGTTTGCACATTGCTGGGGTTATCGGAATCGATGTTCACAAACCCAAGCTTTGCATTCAAAAGAAACTTGTACAATCACGTTCTCTGCCTTAGCCATCGGTATACTGTGAGTTTTAGTTGGACTGTGATTAACCTTATTCTTTCAAAATATTCAAACATTTTTTAATTTCTTCTTCGTAATGTACCTAGTCTCAACCCTTTTCTTTTGATTTGTGCACAATGTTGACTTTTCGTCAAATACTTTGTTAATTCTTTTGTAACACAGAAATTATCGAATTGAATTCTTGGAATAATTTCTAAACTTATTATTCTCTCTAATATTTAATACGTCTAACTGAAAAGAAATTTCTTCGCTCCGTTTGTTCATCTCGCGTTATTTCTTATCGACCACAACTACATCAAAATTTTTAATAACTTGAGTCTTTCTATTTTTATAATTGTAGCCACTTTTTAGTGCTTACACAGTTAATGTTAACGTTAGGAATTCCATACATTGCAATTTACATTCAATTATTGGACGCATTGACTATGTTAATTGTCGTACCAGTTGCAATGGCTCTAACCGCTGTTCTAATGTTTCTCCTAGTTGCTGTTTTTGATGAGGTAATGCTATTTCTGTTGATCTTATTATTGAAAATCAAAGTAGTTACCTTTTTAACTCAGTTACAATTCGATCGACCCGCTTTTCATCACATACTCAAGCTGTATTTTAAGTCGAAATGCCTTTTCTCATAAGAAATAGATATCTTTCTCAGCTATATTTTTTATATTTCGAAGCCGTCTCTGACTTCTCGCTGATAGAAAATCTAAGGTGTCAAGGCTGACTGAATTTCTCCGAAACGAATGAAGGTCCAGATTGCAAAGAAACTGTCCTGTGGATCAAAGTATTTTTGTCTATGAAAATACATGAGTAATACCCAAATTATAACTAACACTTCTGATACAGTAAATACTCGTGTTGTTCGGATGTATCCATATAATTAGCAGTTCTCCAGATAGGATTCACTTATTAACCAAACATCTAACGCTTCATATTATCGTTTAGTTTATTAATAACCTACTTTGTTGTGTAAATCTTGATAGATGTTTCTTTACCTGGTTTAGTATTTTTGATTAATCTGAATAATGTTCATGTTGTGTCCATTGCTGATATCACTATTAAACCTGTGAGTGTTTCTAATCGTTAGTTGGATTTCGGTCATGAATTGTTTAGACTAAAGGATTCGTTGTGATTCAGAACCTTATGGTACCTTTGGTACATAGCATATCTCGAGATACCAGTCATCTCCAAAAATATTCTAATAGTTACTGACATATTGAATTTCTCCACTCATCTACCGGATACGAAATAGCTTCTAGATCACTTTCATTTAAGAGCTTTGAAACTTGAAGTGATTAAAACGATCAGAAACCATATTTTGTGTGTTTGAAACATTTGCGCTAACAATCTTATCCTTTTCTTACTTCACGTTAACTCTCTGAATATGAGAGGTTTGTTTCGCAATAAGTTGTCACTTTTCATCAATGAAGTTTATTTCTCTCTCTCTTCTTCGGGCATTTTCGCTGTTATACCAAGCACTATGATTGCTGTACTAACCTGGAAATATTTTTATAAACTGACGGGCCCTATACAATTACAAAACTCATTTGCTGTCTACAACCATGTATGTAATAAAGTGTAAAAATAATGTATGACATAGCACGAAATTGGCATCGATCACGAAAGTGCTTACATTAGCAAATACTAGTAATTATGACTATATATTTTTTTACGTACGCCAAAATAATCTTTTCATTCATCTGTTTCTCGAAACTTGAAGTAAATCCTTTCAAATCTTGCCTACTTACTAAATAACCCTTCAATCGCTAACTCTAGATTACTGATCTAAAACTAATGTATATTTTTCATAGTAAACACACAATCCATCTCATCTGTTTCCGGTCCTCATTTAATCACTGTCTCACTCTACTCTGTACGTTGGTTCTGTACACGCACATGTTATATTACTGTATTGTTTCTTGAATTTAAAATTTTTCTTAATTGCTTTTCTAAATACAGTTTTTTTTATTTATAGTACATAGTCTGAAGTTTTTTTCATAAAAAAAAAATCCGTTTGTTTGAATCCATATTTTTAGGAAAATCGTCTTTTACTTCGATCTTTTATTTTCACACACATCGTACGCTCAAGCAAGCAGAGTAGTGGAATGGCGTTGGGAAGTCAATACAGGGTTGAAATTGCTTCAAAACTTAAAAAATCTCCTCTTCATCATATGGAACGGGATCACTTTTCGTCAAATAATTCAGGCATTCAAGTTTTACGCAACCCAGATAACCGAAGGAGTAGTTATCACTATGACAACGCAATTGAGAAGAAAAGAGAATACAATCAAAGTATTGGTGAGTGTGAGTGTTGTGGAATTCTTGTTTTCTGACTTTATTGCTTATTGGTAATCAGGGTTCGTCCCTTTCCTATATCTCATTGGTTGAATTAATTATGGACAATCTAGCTATGTTCTTATTGTTTGAAACTTATTTCGTATAGACAGTCATGTTGGACGCGACTTCTTTACGTTGGTCTGTTTCACGATTGACTGTTGTTGTCCTCACACCTTCAATGTTGGCTTAAATTTAATCAATTGTGAATAACCCTTATTTTTATATGATATATATATATATATAAATATCTACGACTGTTCAAAACGACAGTCTTTTGACTCGGACAGACCTCGTGTGTGTTATTCGGGTGAATCTGACAATCTTTTTTTCAAGCTTTCTCGTTTTTTACATTGCGATTTCAACGGTATCTCTATCTGCTTGGAAAATAGTCACCTTATTTGAGCAACATTGTATGCTATGCCTGTACTGTTTTTCACCAAATGTCTGTCGCAGTGACTTCAGTTAGCTGTTATTCAACGTTTTGTTGTATTATACTTATCATCCTTTAAGAATCGTAGTCCTAAATATCAAAATAAAATAAAGTTTGAATAATTCTCGTTCGTGTGTATACTTTGAAAGTAACTGTTTTGATCAGTCATCTGGCCAGCAGCGTATTGTGTTTACGGTCCGTATTCGAAAACCTCTACAACTTTTAGCTCCTAAATCCAAAACAGCAATATTTGTTTGTCACAAATAAATGTTGAATAAACTCGATTGTGATTTACAGTTTAAGCTCGCTTAGCTTTTTTGTTTGCATTGTTTAGTTGTATTTGCATAAATTGTACTGAATAACAGATCCTTATCCATCTAAATTAGTGGACTAAGATCGCGGATGTAAAATATTAGTAGGACTCAAACTTATTGTCAGTGCTGACTTTTTCTGAGTGGTTTCATTCCTAAATTTACTACTCCATGGTTATCGCTAGTAACACTTCCTATTATGGTATGGATTACTCACGTTTGAATTTTGCTACTGTTATGGCGGGGGTTGCCTGACCCAGTTGAGTGTTTGTTGTTGTGTCCAAGTTTCTTACACTCATTTTGCATAATCTGCTTTCCAACCAGATGATTGTTTTTATATTATGTTCTGCCTTTCTAATCCTTGTAAAAGCCTCACCTGAAACTAGTAATTCACTTGTACTTGGCGATTCGAGACAACTACACGAAGGATTATCTAATGACATTTTGTGCATCAATGACGATCATGGGGATGAAAATTCAAAGAATCATGTCAATCTGGGTTTTTCAAACAACCAAACATATGTTTTGCCTTCTTTCAACAATCTAGTTACTCGGATGTAAGTACTTACTGTATGTACATGAAAACACATTACTCACTTTTTCCATTTTGACAACCATCAGATTGTTTTTTTGCTAAAATAAATTTATGATAATGGGATCACCAGTCAATTCGTATTTTAATTTTCACTGATTATGAAACTTTCGTTTACCTTGTATGCCATACCTTTTTGTGTTTTCATCCTAACTTAAGCATTTTTTAGGTCAACATGTTTTATTTGCTTCCTGTTTCCTTAATCATGCACAGAGTATGAAGTTTAGTTCTTGAAGCACCACAGATTCATTTTTTTAGATGGTCTTCACGTCTTTTTGTATTGTTTGTATATATCTTTTCTCAATGCAATCAAGCTATTGTGTGATCTGCGTACATTGAAAATAACTTTTGAAACTCTTAACCGGCATGCACAAACTGGTTGATTTTGACTTTTTTTTTAACAATAATTGTTTACATAATTTATTTTGATTATTAATTACATATAATTTCTTCTCTTCATCGTCGTTACTTCATTCTAATAAAATTTCGTAAGTGCTCACTATGTTAGTAAATACATAAACAAACTTTCCCACAGCTTCAATAGATTTGTAGCCGTCTCTAGTAAAACTATAACTATGACAAACTTACAGAAATAGAGTACGTTTAAACATGTGACACTTAGGTACAAGATGTGATTGATAAAGCCGTATTATAAGAATCCATCACTGACTAACAAGATAAGATAATTGATATTTCATACAAAATAAGATCTCAGAATTTATTCAGGAAATAGATAATTCTGATTCTTTTTCGCCCTGGAACTGCAGTGCGCTTACACATCAGGTTACGCGGAAGTGCGTTTCTTTAAAGCAGGGCGAAGTTCTTTGTGACATTTTGAAGATAAAAAAACATGAGGGGAGCAAAATAACTAGCGTCCTTCTGGATAATTTTTCAAATGTGTGCGGAAATGTTCTTTAATTCAGCATTTTATCTGTCAGAGTTTTCTTCTATGCAAAGGCCGAATTATTTATTTTTGGCGCTTTTAGACTCCTGAAACTAGATTAGCTGATTAAATTCACTTCCTAAATCATGATAAACTTATGTAGGAATTTTATTATATAGCACTTTTACCCGCTGTGTAGTGAGTCGTTTAGCCTGAACATTCGTATCATTCTGTAAATTACTAAGTCCAGAATTACGATTATTTGCAAAACTTTATTTAAGTCTGTTTGTTTTACTTTAATGAGTTAGCTAGTTATCCCTAGCTGTATAAAGTTCCTATAATGTTTACAGTAACTTTGCATATTATCAGTACATTTCTTTAAAATATAAACCATTTACTTGTAAATTCCACGAATTAAATAAGCGGTGGAACGTCTAAACAGTCTTCGATGTATTCGTCGTACATTTTTGGGGTTGCGGATTGCTTGTTTATCCGAAAAAAAGATTCCTTACTTTTTGATGGAGTACTCTCAAACAGTTTGCTGGAAGTGATATTTGATGTTTGGTTTACTTGATGGAGCTGGATATCTGAAGATTCGGTCGTGACTATACTCTTGATATTATCATTCAATTTATTCGTATCTTGAACGGAACTTTGATTCCTACAAAAGTCAAAGCAAAAATAGTGACAAATATTTAGATAGGGAAGAAATAAATTTCATTTCAAACAAATATGAAAAATAATAGATTTACAACAACAAACGCAGTTCCTTGTAGTCACTTAGTACAAGGTTTAAGACGATTCAGTTTTAAAAAACATTGTTGTCTAAATTAGACACCTTCGCAAATTCATTTTCAAGCGAATCAAAGCTAAACACAATCACAAACTAAAAATGAACGGAAATAATAAAGATTCATATGAAAAGTTGTAAAATATTTGCGAAGACATATTTTCAATGTAAAACCTACTTTCTGTTGGATTTTTCGTGAGAAATTTTATGTCCATTGTTTGTGTATCTTCTGACTTCATGAGAAGCCTATGTGTATAAAATCGGTGAAAATATCGTCAATATTGCTTTGTTAGTGATAACTTATACTTGTTGGTCAAAACTAAATTAAACCAAAAACATTTTATATTAAAAGTGAAACCTCAGAATTTGGAAAGCGGTAACTGAAGTACAGCAAATTAGAGGATACAGAAATGGTAATATTAAACCAAGTTTGCACATAGTTAACTCCGGCTCAACGAGATAAAGATAATAAAAGTAAAATCACCCAATATACCAACAGTAATAAGAAATCAAAGATTAAGGTAACAGCTCCAAACGAGCTAATAAGAAGCATAAATTAACAAGATCAAAACGCATTCAAAGGATGAATGCACCTACATCACTACGACTGATTATAAATCAGTATTGCATAAATTCTACAACCACAAGTTCTCGCGTACGACAGCGACGGAAACTTTACCTGCGCTATTGCCTGGTATTTATCATTAAAAGCTGCATGAAATCGTGGACATACTTGAATTATGTACTGTTCAGCTTCTTATAAATTAGTCTAATCCTAAAAAAACAAGTCCAAGCCATCTCTGTTGATGAGCCGATTGTAGTTCTTCAATTTTTAGATCTGGGAGAGTTTCGTTCTGGGCAGGATAGTTGAGTTCTCATTGTTCTTCTGAATAATGGCATCACCATGAATTTCAGGTGGAAGTGAGTTATTCAAATTTCTCCACATATGAATGACAACTGATCTCAGCGTTTTACCATAGATTGTGCATCCATTATTGTCCATGTGCATTGATATGAGGCAGAATATATCATAGTGTTTAGTGGCCAGTTGGTGTTCACGCAGATAAGTTTGAGAGCTCGCACTGTCTGATACAGTGTTTCTGGCAGTTGGCACAGTTTATTTTATAAATGACCCTTGTACTTTTGCCATTACACCCGTATGTTATGTCAAATGCTTTAGAGTTAATAAATGTTCGATGATCAAACTCCATACAATTCTTTGCATTTATTCAGTGGCACTCTTTAAGTAAGCTGTTTTTCTTTTTCATTTTAGTTTACTAGCCGTTAATCTGTTTTGTTTGAAAATCGATTAACTACTGCATATTACGCTAGATGTACTAATTCACTGATGAGATCATGAAAATAATCGGTATACTTGTTTATTGATTTAAAATCTGTGGATACACGATTAATGCATAATGTGAATATCTAAACTAAGCTGTAAAGATGCATAATGCGTCTTGGTTCGACAAACAAAGTGATAGGGGAAATACATTTCACCTTTTCTAGGCGATTCATAGAACGTTCCTTACATCAAATGTATAAAATGTGACAGTTTCATACCTTTGGCATAGTAATCAATAAATGCCCTGTCGTTAAAGAACGCTTGACGTTTGAAGCATCGGCTAGAACTTCATCTGGTAAAGCCAGTTGAAATACCTAGAAAATTAAAAGCAAAATGTGCGTTTATATGAACATGTAATCAACTCACTCAAAATCTACTGACGACTTTTTTCAATGATCGGACTAGATGTAGGATAAATCAAACAAATTCTCTCTATATTAAGGAAATACGTGAGGAGCTGTATTTATATAACAACAGAAAAAGTCACTGCGGTATTAAAACTTCCTAGATCGTCGTTAAGCGGATGACTCTAATCAGAAGCCATCATTTGAAGTAACATTGGTTGATTACTCAGTAACTCTTTTATTTCGCATCGTATAGCTCAGTTACTATGTCACTGATTTTACATATATTCAACCTTTCCAAACTTATTCTCGAATTATGGTATTTCCACACAAGAAATTCAAAATTAGAGACGAGTTAGGATGGGATCGATTTTTATCAGGAGTAAATCAACCGAACGAGTAGCACCTTAGCAGTCAAACTGGACACAGGAAAAGAATCTGTAGAGAATGCTCTAAATATCATTTCAACATTTGCATGAATATGGAATTATTGACTATTTACAACCAATTACTCCGCTTGGAACACTTCTGGGGTTACTGCTGAGCCCCAAAGTGGATAAAGTGGAATGGCTGGCCCTGAAGTTAGCAGATCCGTCCATAGAAACGAACTGTCTGAAAAACGCGAAACAGAATTTATCTTTCAAACCATTTAAACTCTGCCTTGACAGTTAGGGAGACCTTCACCTAGAACAGTTATGACGTCTCATGATGAAAGCTGACTTCCTACGGAAGTCATGAGTCACGAACACAGTAGCGATCAATATAAGAACATGGAACGTTCGCACAATGTGGGAAACAGAAAGTTCAATTTGTTGCATCACGTTAGCATAGAGATAGAATTGTCAGTTCAAACCCATAGTGATGGAGGTAGTATTAGTTTGTGCGGTAATGAACCAGCTTAGTGATCGAAGATATATTTCGGGAAGTATATTTTAGTGGAAAAAATCTAACAGGAGGAAAAAAGTCGTGAGGGATTCAAAAAAAGAATTGGGTGCAATCGCACCAATACCAACGATTTTCAGCCATGTCATTTGCATCATCAAAAAGTTCGGAAGCACCATGGAGGATGTAAGGGTTCGGAGAGGAGCTAACCGCTTCAGATCACCACTTCAATAAACTGAAACTAAAGGAGCACTATACAGCTGGGCAAAGAACATTACAAATGTTCTAAACATGTGTTTATAATCAGAGAAACAACAACTTCAGTATATCATGAGAAGGGCCATCACTAGTAATGGATCCCATTGATACTCTGGATAGGATTTAAGAAAAGAAGATTATCAAGGCGGCAATTAATATCAACCGAACAAGAGCAGAGAAAGCAAAAGCTTAAGCTGAATACACAGAAGCAAACAAGGAAGTGAAGAGGTGCATCAGAGCTGACGAATGTAAATATGTGCAATATCTTGCAACGACAGCAGATAAAGCTGCGAGAGAAAGAAAATCAAACAAATATATGGTAAAATGAAGTAGCTCGGTGAAAAATATAGTTAATCAGAGTGATCACTGAAAAACAAGGAACGCGAAGCAAACATCGACACTGAGGAACAGCGAGATAGGTGGGTAGAGCACTTCCAATGAATCGTGAGTAGACCAGTTCCACTGAATCCAGGCAGTACCTACGGAGCTCCAATTGATGTTGATCCAAAAACAGCTGAAGAGATCAGCATGGCCATCAGGCTAGTCAGGAGTGGCAAAGCAGCGGGCAACAAACATCCCAACTGAGGCGATGAAAGCGTATATAACAGTAACTACAAAGATGCTACACTATGTTCCGCTAGATAGAATAACAAGTATCAACACACTAGGAAGAAATAAACCAAAGATAGATCCCAGAAATTATGAAAATTACGAAGGCATCACTCTTCTCCCGTTACCAGTGAGTCTTCAATAATGTTGTTAAACTGAGTGAAAATTCAATAGATATCCAACTTCCAAATCAGCAGATTGGATTTTTAACCATTGATTGTATACTGACCGAATCACGAGAAGAGGCAAACTAAAGAACACATTGCACTGACAATGGGAGGCGGACACTCAAAACGCGCATAGCATTTGAGAATTACTCGAAGCCCATAATATAGTAAGTTATGATTATGATACAGGAAATCTTGTACATGGATTTCAGGTTGCGTGTGTCTTCAACGTTGTCAAGAGTAACTCTTTATTCTCATAAGTTTGAAATAAAGTCAACCACGAACATTAATTAGCCACTCAATACTGACTAAATTCTTCATTTTGAAGCTTACCATTAGTTGCTCTCAAATATCAGAGCTTCAGGGATACACCTTGTTCAATGTTACACAGATAGAAATCGCTAGTATGATCCTCTGAACATAGTCATATTCATTATATTTTTCTGGTCTGTTTACTTCTCATACGTTTACATTGAGCTAATTTACTGGGATAACTACATAGACTTGTCAAAATAACTTGTTTTGACACCGTTTGATTCAAAAAGGAAAACTGCGATCAAATAGCATTGTGTACCGATGTCATTTCGATTTACCATCTCATCATTTTTTGAAAGCTAAATTTTTTTCTTCAGGATCGCTTATAAAGATACTTAGAGAAACTGGGTTGAAGTGTTTAATCTGAGCCATAGAAACTAGTGGAGTTCAGTTATCCGAAGTATCCTCAAAAATGTGGTCCAACACTTTAACTAAACAGCCTGATGGCTTACTGCGTCTTATCCCGACCGTGGCTGCTACATTGACACGGTGGTCGGGCTTGCCTGTCGTGATGACCTAACCGAACTATACTGGCTGGAACATGCAACGCAGGTCGTTGGGAGAACGGTAAGACTAAAAGCAGCTACTCAAGATCTGAGGGCGAAGTCGTACTGCTGAGTTCATAGGGGTGTGACAGTAGTTAGGTGTTTCACTTGGATAATTAGGGACTGAGCGATTCTGCCATCTCACAACTGAATGAAGTGCTTAGAAAACGTCAACCATAAAAATGTCACTCCTCACCTTACCTCACGGGTTCCCGTTTCCCCAGCGGTAAGACCATTCAAAAAGAGCGGAGCTGACATGTAAAACACTTCTCATAAAAATCCGTGAGCGACCGGCATTAGGCGGTAGTCCCTTGGACTCTGTGGTCAAGCTCGATCTACACAAGGGATACCCTCCCACAGTGTGAGCAGCCGGGCAGTGACAACCACCCTCATACCCGTAACAATACGCGAGACCAAATCGGTCAAAATCAAATACTCCCTACATCGCCTAACATCTCTCTTATCTCCACGACTCACTCTTCCAATATCACTTTATCACGTTGCACCGCTTATGCAAACGATTCGAGTTCATGAAACGTTTTACCCGGTCTCCTGAAACCGCGTACTAAATTACTTGTTGGAGCTATAAATGTCCGGACATTGTGTCGAATAGGGTAAAAGACTTCTTTAGCTAAGACTTTAGAATCCCGTGCCAGCGATACATGCTGCATCTCTGAAACCCGCACACAAGATCCTAGTAAAATCATCAATTTGATTTCACCTTGTCAAAGTAAAGAAGCAACTTGAATTACTCTTTGTGTATTTTGAAGTCATGCTGCTGCTTCCCGGGGTTTCGCTGGCGTAGGTATAGCATTGACTGGTAGGACGAAACTAGTGGCAGAAACAGTGGTGAGGTAAGGTAAACCGTGAGGCTAGGAATAAGCTATGGATCTCAGTGGCATCCACCAAACCGATGGATGCTCGAAAACTCATCTTGTCTGGCTCTGAACATGATGAACAGCAGAGTCAGCGTAAGCGCAAGCTGATAAAAAGCCAACGCAACGATAACGAACAACTAAGTAGCGAAAGAAATAGCGATGGAAAAGGAAGCGATGATAGATAACAGTGGACAACTGTTCGCGGAAACCGGGCTTAGGAATCCGACTGTAAGTGAGACTATCTTAGAAAACGATGGGACTGTTATTTCTCAATCCAGGAGATTGGATCGATCGGCAGAACACGGAAGATCAATTCAACTGGTCTTAAGCTACACTTCGATTACCCACGATTTCCAGTCATGGTGAATGGAAGTCCTTCGACTCTTTATGACACTGGAAAGACTATAGGAAATCTAAGGCGAAGAAGAGGGACAGGACTGGATATGCTTACATCGGATGGTACTCCAGTTTTAGCAGTTAGGTTGACTGAGATCTTGGATAGAATCTAGGAACTGAACACGACTTCGTCTAACTGATCTCAATCACTGATTGTCCCAAATTGTAAGAAACGACAAAGTCCTTTTGTGAATAACAGAGGACTCAGTTTTACTAATATACTGTCTAAATAGTTAGCCTCGATAATACTTAGACGCCTAACTAGAGCTGGTGAAGAGCAGACTAGTTTCAGACATGGATGTGACTGTATAGACCACACATATGAACCACAGACACACATTTTGTCGTCTGACAATAGCTTTCTTCCCTGGCCTCTAAGGGGCATTTGACTCTGTGGATCGTGAGGTTCTGTGGCAGTTTCTGTCATTGAAATGAGTACCGCAGAAGTACACTAACCTTATACAAGCTCTCTACTCGAACACTACAGGTCGAGTGAGAGCTTATGGCGCATCAGAATCGATAACTTCAAGTGATTTTCGTCAGGGCTGTCCTATTTATCCATTCTTGTCCACCTTTGCCATAATCCTTCTTCTAGATATAACGTTATGTTGATATGAACTTTCAGAAGTAAACCTTCTGCCAGTAGACTCCCTTGTTGACTTAGAATATGCCGATAACATAGTTCTATTTGGTGAAAATGCTGATAAAATGCAGTCTCCTGACTACCCTAAGCAACAATCTAAGCATGTCCGGGATGCAATTTTTGTTTATTCTTCTCATGTCTGTCTCCATTTCTCGGCGTAATATGTTCCTTGTCCTTGGTCTTTCTGGTTGGCCTTGAGAATCCCATGTGAGAGCTTTATTTGTGACGTAGTTCGGTGCTTTCCTATCCACTTCCACTTTTTCTTCTTGAATTCTTTCTCCACTGGAATCTGGTTTGTTCTGTTCCACAGACGGCCTAATGAGTGACGAAATCTCAGCACGAATACAGAAGGCTCGATCGGCTTTTGCCAACTTGTATCACTTATGGCGTAGGCGAGATATCGGTCTACCAACAAAAGGACGGATTTACTGCGCATCAGTTCGCTCCGTCTTACTAAATGGTTTCGAAATATGACCATTAAAAGTGGAGGATATTCGTTAGTTATTAGTATTCAAATATAGATGTCTTCAGATCATTGCTGTTTTATTTTGGGGCAACCGAGTAAGCAATGCTGTTGTCAGGAAAAGAGTCTATGTGACGATGGAAGATCAATAGATGAAGCAGTGAAACTTCATAATATCCCAACCACCTACTGCCTTGACGAGCATTATTTTGTGATGTAGGTTGGAAGAAAGCTAGGACCGGCCAAACCAGAACATGGCACAAATCCATGAAGTCACTGACAAGTGGACTGAGTCATGTCGGTAGGTGTCTACTACCTTGTTGGGGGCTGTGAGACAATAGTATCCGACGATTAGAGATCTTGAATGACATGGCTCGAAATCGTTTGCAATGGTGCAGGTTCATTTATTCTTTGTGTTCTCTCAAATTCTAATCTGAATTCCTCATCACCTTTTCTTCCTCTTCTCAAATTTATTTCACTGGATTCTACTTTTCGAATTATATGTTCGAACCCTAACCTTCCCTAATTCCTCTTACACTTCTATTTCATCTACCGCTGTGGTGATTGCATTGACGATTGCTTCTCTGAGCTAACGTGATATGATAACCTGAACTAATGTACGTACGTACGAGGTTTTACATTGTAGCTAACCGATTAACTGTGTATGATATTCATTTTTAACGGACATTGAGTTGAGCCACATGGTACCACACTTTTTGCAGCCTCACAAGTCACCAGACTTATGCAACTCAATAAAAACAACCATATTTATCTTTTTTCATCAGTTTTCGTTGTTATCTTACCTTTCCTTTAAGTGTTACCCGAACATAGTTGACCTGTATATCACATTCTATCAAAGCTGTATCCATGTGCCTGTTATAAGTGTTGGATAGGAAAAATAAACAATTAATAAGATTTTATGAGATCCCATCAGTAATATTGATTGGAATCAATTGAAATTCATAGTTCAAACCTTGTAAATCATTTAATTAAACTGATGGAAAACTGATTGTTTTAATCACAAAATAACACATATACTGAACTAATCAGAAGTGACCTAATGAGATGGCCATTGGATGACCATTAGAAAATGTTCCTGAGGACGGATATATATCATATATTGGGTGAGAAATGATTTTCGCTTTGTGAAGGGGTTAATACAAGTACATAGACTAGTATTTGTTCATAATATCTGACGGTCAAATAGACTTTCTCTGCTGTCCTCTGCCTTTTCGCTCAGTCGGCCAGTTTCGAGGGAGGGGGGTAGAACTTATCGCTAACTCAGTTCGGCACCGTGCATCATAATAACACCTTTCCATTTACTTATCACTGTACTCAATACTTGAAATCTTTTGGTGATACTGGTTATGTTATGCAACACAACTTCATTTTCAATAACTTCGACTAGCTTTAATAATTTTGTAACACTGCTCTATTTTATCATACACAAGCACATGCATAAAAAATACCTAAAAATACGGTAACTGAAACATTGTTTTCATGAATCAGTGGTTTTTTTTTCGTTTTCTATCAAGATTTACTGATTGCAGCTTTGTTACCTTCTGATGATCAAATTTTTAAAAACTGATCACCATCTTGTTTCGTATTCATGAAGCAATTGTCGCTAAATTGAAACTAGTCATTAAAGTAATTAATACTGTGTAAAAGTTTATGGAGATAATCATATTTACTTTTGTGAAGCATAAGTAAGATAATCTGTGAAGAGGGAAATAAGGCTGATGTTAAGCATACTGATGAATGTGTTCTGGGAACTCTTATTTTCAGAGTCGTTTATTCAGTGTATGGGTAAAAGTTAGAGCAAACACTACCCAAGAAAAATTAAAATTAAAATGAATAACTCACTTATATACACTGATATCAAGTATGTAAACATCGTGATTGTCTAATGTATCTTCCTTGAGGCTGAACTCTAGCCTAGAGGATTAAACAGTTTGAATATGCAGTGAAGTTACAAAACTCAATCATGTAATAGCCAAGCCTATCAGGCAGCTTGAAACTGGCTACCTGATTTGTTAAACGTTACGTTGGCTGTAACTTTAGACTATGATCAACATGTAAATAGCTGATAAGGAATATGAAGAACTAATGCTCAATTTATTTAAAATTTATGAATTAGTACTAAATCAAAGGTTAGTGGTGATAACCGCATCAAACGCCAAATCTAATAGGTTTGTTAGAACTACTTTTGACAACTTTCTATCACTGGTCATTTTCACATTCATTTTATTCTGATGACATACGTCACTTGTAGTTGTTCAATGGATATTTCGTCTACTCCATAAGTGACACAGGTAGGCAAAAGCCAGTGGGGCCTTGTGCATCGGTGCTGAGATTTCGTCAGACACCAGGCCATCAACATTGATAAGACTCCCAAGATAAGTGAAGCGGTCAATACGCTCAACCGCTTCACTCCCTAGCACTAGTTCAGGTGCCGATGCAAGCCAATCTTGATGCAACATTTTACATTATTATCAGTCAGGTTGAAAAGGCTATAGGCAATCTAAAGCGATGAAAAACAGCAGGACCCTTGAGACTTTTTAAGGATGGTGATCAAGTTTTAGCAGTTAGGCTGACTGAGATCTTAGACCAATTATATGAATATATTTTAAAACGATCTAATACTAGGACAATCAGTGACTGAGATCAGTCAAATGGGGTCGTGCCCAGTCCCTAGCTTCTATCTATTTATTTGGTCAACATTTAACTCGATATTTTGAAGATAACGAAATCCAAGAAAATAGGAAATCGTTAAGTAGAAACAATATCAACAAATTGTTGTAATGAATAAACCAGAAGGTAGTTTCGCTTAAACTATACAGTCAGTCAGTTACAATGTAGAACTTTGTACGTGTGTACGTCAGTTAAGGTCGCCATACCTCATTAGCACAAAGACGCAACTGTCAATTAAAATCCCATAGTGGTAGAGATTGTAGAAGTATAAGCGGTAATGGAGAAGATTGGGGTTTGAAGATATTATTAACGAAGTATACTTCAGTGAGATAACTTTAGGTAGAGAAAGAGATGATGAGGAATTCAGAAGATTAGAATTTCAGAGATTACAAAGAGTGAATGCACCTGCGCCACTGCTAACTATACAAATAACAAGCAAGAAATTTTATGAGCAATCAATATACAAACGTACTTAGCTGTGTTGATATTGTATGGTCTACCGTCTTTGGCAAAATATTTCATATTTACTTGCGTCTTTCTCCTGAGAAGATTTAAATACATAAAACTTTATTTGTATACATCATATAAGTGTATTTTTTCGATTATCTTGAAAACTCTAATGTTCCTGCTTCGTAATGTAAAGGATACAAAAACACCTAAAACTGTTTAGAGCAATCAATATTATTAATGCTGATTAGGTGTTAAATTTAGATAACCGTCCCTAATGAGGCAGGTAGTTATGGAGGAGTCCAAGGGTTTTAGAGCAGTTGATGGTATTGATTGTAACATGAACGCTACGTATGTTCTGAGCTTTGATGCACAACTTGAATGCCCGTAGAAAGCTTTTCAGTTTAATTTTAATTTATTTAAGTACTTCCATACAGTAAATGTAGCTAAGGGTCAAACGTTTTATTTGATTAATACCATAATTCACTGGCTAGAATCAACTAAGTTTCTGAAATAAAAGAGCAGCACAAATAACTTCTAAAATTAAAAATTACAATGATTGAAAGTATCGACCAGCTCGTATTTTCACTTTTAAGCACCTTTTCTGGCACCGATGAAGCTGGATATTTAGTGACTTAAAGGTAAATAAATGAGAGTGTACCTCAAAGTAGCAAATAGTTCTTCGAACAATTCAACCCTAGATTCAAGAATGAGTTTCCCAAAAAGATACAGCTTTGGAAATGAAGCAACTTTATCAGCTATCTTATTGATAACACATTTTAAAACTCTTACGGACTAATTAGAACTTCAAAGCATGAGCAACAAAAATTATTCGACTTCTTAAAAGTTTTGACATAAATATACTACAAATGTTTATAAGTAACTTCATAAGATATCATCAAAATGTACACTTGAGTAAAGTGAGATAGGGAAACTTTCCAGACTTCTATCTGAAGTTTGTGCTGATGATGTTGTTCAGAAGAACAATGAAAGCTCCACAACCAAAACACTCAGCTCAGAGAACCAAACACCACCACCACCACAAACTTTTCAGGTTCTGTTGCTGTATAAAGTTTTTTGCATAAAATATAGGTTTAAATATTTGTCCAGTTTAGTTATCATCAAAATATAACTTTGTATCAGAATACGAATGTAAATCAGCAGCACTATCTGCTACTGATTTTATTTATTCACGAGAAAAAACTGTTCTGCCCAACTGATCTGTAATTATAACTGGATACGGGTATTGTGAAGTATTTGGCTCTTTTAAGAACTTTACTTAGTCCACATATACATATAATATTGGCCATCAGACGTTCCTGACATTTTGCTTCTATACTTTGTTTTGTTTGCAATCAACTGATAAAGATGTCTGACTAGGAAAAGTATCACAACTTTGATCATATATTTATGAAAGGCCTATCGATATTGACTGTTATTCGAAGTAATATACGTGTAAATGAAAACCAAGTTAATATTTACATATTTCATTCAGACTCTCATTACATATATGAGGTGCTTGTGGTAAATAACGTTCTTATGAATTTATGGTGAATAGCAGGACCAGACAACATACAGGCTGAGGCATCGAGAGCAGATTTATCAGTAACTCGAAAGATGCTGCACGTTGTCTTTAGCAAACGTTGGGAGGAAGGACATGTACCAACAGGTTGGAAAGAAGGATGCTCATCAAAGTACCAAGGAACAGACTATAATATGCATTAAATACCTTGAATCTGTTGTTTGTTGCTTTGATTTTTCCTTTTGTTGCATATATTCATGTGTTTCAATTCGTGATTCGGGTGTGTAGGGAACCTTTTCAGACCAAAATTCTTCTGAATCTGCAATTGTGCTGTACGAAAAACCAAAGTTTAACTCATAGCATAAAAAGTGCAACAATCCAACACTATTCAGTGATAATTATTGATGTCACTTGGGGGTGTAAAAACCCCCGCGTTTTTGATTTTGAAAATAAAGAGTGCCGTGACAACAACTTTGTGTTCTCCCTTGGTGTGAGGTGTTGAATTAACCCTGTGTGTTGCGATTTTAGATTTCCTCTGCCTTTCACTAACTGCCGATTACGCGTGTTACAACTGGTGATCGAGGTGCCTACAGGAAAATTTAAAGCAAACTCAGATGAATCCCCGGTGCTGCCAACCAGGTCATCAACCAGCATTTGCCCAGAAGGTAACGGCCTAGTTGAGAGGACAAATAGAACCATTAAAGCTATTTTACAGTCGTTCGTCAGCAGATCGTCATCTGAGTTGTGGGACGAGGTGCTCCCTCAATGCATGCTAGCTTATCGAACATCGGTACATGGGTCTACGGGATTCTCACCTGCTATTCTACTATTCGGGCATGAGCTACGCCTCCCGGTTGAGATTCAGTCGCCTTTACTACCGTACGAAGAACAAGAACATGTTCCGTACATCCTCACTCTCCGTAACCGCCTGGCTGATGCATACCGTTTAGTCAACGTCAACTCGCACAGGGCTAGCGGCCATCAAAAAGATATGTATGTTCGCCAAGTGCAAGGACCGGTGTATAAAGTTGGAGACCGTGTCTGGTTACGCCGCCCCATGACATCAACAGGGAGTTGCATTAAATTCCACCAGCCTTGGCATGGCCCTTCGAAATCGTCCTCATCCGATCCCCCACGACGTTTGTGTTACGTAATCCGCAACGACCTCAGGACGATGTAATAACGGTGCACTACAATCAAATAAAGCCAGATCGGACAACAGTACCTGCTGATGCCCGGTTCACAGACCCACCACCTGCTACTAGTTTTTATGAGATACCGGCTGAAGGAGGAGTAGCGTATCCTTGTCCGAGACCGGTCACTGAGGACAGTGCCTCATTGAGAGAGGGGGTGGCGTAACGGAGTCAAAATCACTATGTATGATGTTGCTAACTTGTTCTGTTTTCTTTCTGTCTCAGGGCGATCAAACACAAATGCTTTGGAAGCTGAAGAGCAAGCCCTGAGTGCTCTAAACCTACAAGATGACTCATAAGACATTGGTACTACCCCCACCCTCTTCCTGCAAAAACCCCCGCGTTTTTGATTTTGAAAATAAAGAGTGCCGTGACAACAACCTTGTGTTCTCCCTTGGTGTGAGGTGTTGAATTAACCCTGTGTGTTGCGATTTTATATTTCCTCTACCTTTCACTGACTGCCGATTACGCGTGTTACAGATGATTTAGGCGTCACATTTGTGTTTAGCAAAATGTATGCGTTCACTTTAATAGCAAATCCAATACACATTTATGAAATAGAGTAAAGAACGCAACAAAGTTAGAGCACTATTGATGTATTTAGTCAGTGTAGTGTTATTGATCATGGATTGAAGATAAATATACTTAGATACAACACATGTAAGAGGGCATTTTATATTTCAAACGGACTATTTCGCTTACGCATGCCTTTTGATAGTGTCAATATACTTTTTTCATTAACATCTGGTTCTTGGTTAGAATCTCAGAATTGTGACCATGTTCCAATTGAGGTCTAATCTATTTGCCGAAACACTTATGCAAGCTTATAAGTATACAATCAACTCCTGCATCTTTGGTACTACGAAATTAACATCCACATTAAAATGTATAAGATCATTTTATGACAGACATACATAGGTAGAATATCATATTGAACTAGGTGAATTTTATATTCAGGCAGGACTGTTTTTTATATATTTGTTTCTCACCATCAAATCAACTTCATTTGCCAGTCTACGGCAGTTATCTTATATATAGGGCAGATAAGACAGAACATTTTTTCAATATCATTATGATATTGACTTACGATTCATACTTACTGGGTGCTAATATCAGATTTGAAAATCTAAAGCTCTACTACTTTGAAACCGTAAAAACTAGCTATAATGCTATACTACTGAGGAATAAAAACAAATAATTAACTTTTATTGGGACTAATTTGTTGAATTTCGAATAGTTTACGCTACATAAAATCATCATAATAAAATTCTAAATACCACCTACCTACTGGAATCTCCATTTGTCTTGGAAAATCTTTCTTTTCTTCGTAAAGCTTCAGCCTTTTCCGAAATCTGGGAAAGAACTTCGAATTAAATTCATAATATCGGAATTTATATCCAGTTACTAATAAAAATTCATCCCATGCTTACTCTTTTCAATTTGTGCTGACTTTCTTTTTCTTTGATAATTGGGCGAATATGTTGTAAGTTTTGAAATGCAATAATACGTTCTGATTTAGTTATTTCCACTCCATCTAATGACTTAACATGTAAAAAACGAATGTCTTTACTTTTAATTGCGGTAAAGTTGCCACCACGAATTCTCTATACCCTGGATACTCTGTGCAAGGATTTCCAGTTAAGTAACTAAAATATAAATATGTAGAAACTTGACCAATTTTTTAATAATTGACTTACAGTTCTTCGAGAAAATGTACATCAACTAGAGATTCAACACTACACAAGTCACCAATAAAATTTACTGTCAAATCAAGTTTTTTCAAGGATTCACAACCTTCCAAGTTTTCAATTTTTTCAATGTTATTTAAAGCTAAATTTAAATATTCTAGATTTTTCAGCTTCGACAGATTTTCTAGAATAAAGAATTTAGAATTTAGTAATAAACAGTACCAATCTTCGGTATGAGATTGTTTTGTAGGTATAATATTTTCAGGTTTTTACACCAGTTTTCAATAAACTCAATCCTTGGTATTTAAAATGTAACAAACTTCATACCTTTCAATATTTTGTTGATGTAAAGACACTTCTTCAAGGGAGTATATTTCTCCTTCATTATGCTCTGCTCTTTTACGAATGAGATCTTCAGTAACTGAAGAAAGCACGTTAAAACCAACAGAAAAACATTAACTTACTTAACACCATCGTGTGACTGCAGAAATGCTTTGAAATTTCTACAACACAGGAAAACAGTAAATCATAATTCAGAGTAAAAACGTTTTAACAAAGAAGAGTTCATATCGGTGATATTATATTTTCTTTCGCTATGAAGTATTATTTCAATGTAAAACAACCATCCAATAACACAGTTAAACAGACAGAGGAAATGATGAATTCAAGATAAACGTTTCTTCACGGAAACGTCTTTATTCTTTTGGATGGTTAAATGAAACATATTTAACAAATTAGACAAAAACAAAACTAACCATTGATTAAAAACAAGGAAAATATGTTGCTCGAATTATCGGCTATCCATAAAAAGCAAGCGATACTCCAGCATATGTGCATAAATGACGAATGTAAAATGAATCTAAATTAATCTAAGAAAATTAAACTTGATAACTATAGATAGGTTCTTCCTACACTGGACTTTATATCCATTTATAGGATTAGAGTCTAGTAAAGCAACTTCAGAAATTCCATTATTACTTCAGATTTCGAGTTACGCGAATCTGCTTTCATCACTATGTTTGAAGGCACCTTCACATCCGTCTTACACTCAAGCAGTTGAGAAATTGAAGAACTTTAGCAAAAGTCCACGTTTATAAAAAGATTTCAATGGCACCATAACATTTACCTTGTGCAAAATACATGTGCTAAGCATCTTGGACTGCTTGAGCCCAACACATCAAGGATCAAAAGAAAAAAGGCCCTCATTTTAGGAAAAGAAACGCTCTAACAATATGTCATTTTGGTGAATTATCAAACTTGTAAGGTACCACCTAAAATAGGATGCATCTTAGCACGAATTTTAGTCTATCGGTCTGCAAGTCAACAGGTCATACCAGAAAGTGACCTACCTGACGACTACATGATAACGATAAAATAATGTGACGTGACTTTGACTTACTAATACACTTCATGGGGCATTATCTCTACTAGCTGTAACAACCATAACACCTTGATCTGAAAATCGGATCTCAACATAACCGAGATAATGTTGAGATTTTTATTCACAGATATTTTATTTCATTGAAATTATGAATCAACCATTATTAAACCATCATTAGAAACCCGGAAGCGCTGGATTGCCGTTTTGTCCTGGTATGGGACACTTCAGCAATGCACAATCACCACTGCTGCTTACGACAATCGAACCCAGAACCCTCGGTCTTGCGCGTGAACGCTTAAGCTCCAGCCCATTGTGTTAGTGTCTAAATTTGGTCAATCTAAGGTTTCGCGCAACGTTTTAGTTACTGCGCAAAGGGTTGAACTCCATTGGTCACGACTTCCCACTAGTTCAGTTTGTTCATATTACTTTAGTTTCGATTATATTAAGATGCCTAGCTAGAGCTCGTGAAGAGCGGACTAAAGAAAACCAGGCTGGTCACAGACCCGGACGTGGCTGTATAGACCACAGTTTCACACTACGAAAGGTTCTCGAACACAGACACAAATTTAGGCGTCCTACAATAGTTGTCTTTCTGGACCTTAAGGCGGCGTTCGACTCTGTTGATAGTGAGGTTCTGCGGCAGTGTCTGTCATCAAAAAGTGGACCAGAGAAGTACAGTAACCTCATACAGACTCTCTACTCGAACATCACTGGTCGAGTTAGAGCTTATATTGAACTGTAATTGGAATTTAATACTTCAAGTGGTGTCCGTCAGGGCTGTCCACGCTCTTCATCCTTGTTTAATGCAATCATTGACACGGTTTTAGAGATAACATTATCTTCGTCTGACTTTTCTGGAGTAGACCTTCTGCCAGAACATTCATTGCTTGAATTAGAATATGCCGATTACCTAGTACTATTTGGTGAAAACTCTTACAAGATGAAGTCTTCTGAACGCCCTAAGCCACAATGCAAGCATGTTCTGGATGCGATTCTCCCCCTCGAAACGCGAAATGTTGCTTCAGGATTATCTTCTTTCGGCGTCTGAACTATTGAAAGGGACTGAAGCAGTTGAGTGTGTTGACCGCTTCACTAATCTTGGGGGGCTCATCAGTGCTGATGGCCCGGTTTATGACAAAATCTCAGCACGGACACAGAAGGCTCGATTGGTTTTTGACGAATTGCGTCATTGATGGCCTCAGCGAGGTACTCGTATATTAATGAAAGGACGAGTGTACTGCACAGTGGTTCGCTCCGTCCTACTATACGCATGTAAAACATGGTCATTCAGAGTTGAAGATATTAGTAGGTTTCTAGTATTTGATGATAGGTGTCTTCGAAGCATTGCTCGTATGACGTGGGACCACCGAATAAGCATTCCGCTGTTAGAAAACGGGTGCCAGGTAAGTATGGAAGATCGGTACTTAACGCACTGAATCATCATCAGCTGAGGTGGTTTGGAAATGTGTTACGAATGCACAACCACCGACTGCCTCGTCGATCTATGTATTGTGGTGTAGGAATAAGTTAGCAGAATGCTAGGGGTGGGCAAACCGAAACATGGCAGAAATCCATGAAGTCACTGACAAGTGGACTGAGCTGTGTTAGTAGGTGTCGACTACCTAGTTGGGACCCACAAGATGATAGCAATCGATGGTTAGGGGCCCAGGATGAAATGGCTCAAAATCGTCTGCAATGGCTCTGGTGCATTTATTATTTGTGTTCCCTCAAATCTTAACTTTCTAAGTTCAACACAACCTGTTTCTTACAGCAACCGAAAAATACCAGATTAATCTACCGGAGTATGTGGTTTCACCACCTTGCGTTAATAATTATGGAACGAAAATCTACACAAAGCTGAAGTATTTACTGTTTGATAATGGGTTATCACAGTCTAATTAGGCTATCTAATGTGCTTACTACAAGACAGTAGCCTTGTGAAGCACTGGCACTAGTTATGGAAGTTTTTTCAAGTGACAGAAAGTGATCAAGCAGAACATGATGGTTACCGACGCAAAGAACGATTTTCAAAATATATAATATTGTCATATTAAGGATGTGAAAGTGAAACTGTATATTCAAACGATAACTGATAGGTCATACATAGATGAGTTACCTGATCAAGCAATCCTGAAAAGAAAGTGACTTAAAAAACTTTAAAATTACCGAGGATGAGTGTGTTTAAAGCATCACATAAAAGAGCTTACTACAATTCAGAAATGCACTAACAAAAGTTGAATCCATAATAATGATAATTTGGGCTAAGGTGAAACTACAAACTTAATAATGTAACTTTATAAACATTATAAAAATCTTATTTTCGACGAAAAACTTGATAACACATTCAAAACTTGAAGCTATCAAATCCTAGTTTCGATAATCAGTTAATCTTAATCTCACATGTGTGATATTGCTGATTGTTTTCTCTGTTAAAAGTAAGTTCATTCTATGTGTTTAATCAATTTTCGTTTAAACGTTTTTCGTGTTCTCTCTTTTTCCAGATAACGTCAAGGGCTGCTCCTTAAACTTCCAAAGCACGCAAGTTGTCTCGAAAGTAAACGTAAAATTACCGAAAGCTTTACAACTTCTGCCTATGGTTAGTTTTCTTGTAGAGCAGAGGTCTCTTGTGTGCTGAGGATATCTGGGGAGCAGCGTGCGAAGTTATCTGGAAAAGGAAAGAAAGAGAAATAGTTAAGCCGATAACTCAGTAAGCACAGAGGATACATTTACAGTCCAATATCTGATCTATTAAGGAAATCAGGAAATATTAACCAGAAATTATGAATCGAAACTAGGAGATGTAAGAGTAAACTTTCTGATGAGTTATAAATGAAGTTACAATTGACAAGAACAAAACGAGCGGTCAGAGAGGTAACTAAGAGACATAGTTCAATTACCAATATCTTTATACTATTAGTTCAAACCAATAGATTTTACGTACGCTCGATTACTGCGCTGTCGGTGATGTTTCAGGTATTTTATAGTACGCAAGCGATGCTAGTATGGCCACCCAACTACAAAAATTCTAGCCGGGTGGTAGTCAATAATGATTTTGAATACCTCGTGAATTGAATGCGTTCTTTTCTTCTCCAATATCGAATGTGTATTTCAGGAGCTAGTATAAAACAATTGATTTCTTTGCGCTCGATTTTCGTTTTTTCGGTACGGTCCCGGGTATATGGCAGTAGGGTTTCTTGAAACCAGTATCTATTGTATTATCACATCGGAAATCAGTCAGTTGCATTATGAAGAATAGTAGGGAAAAAATTCGAATGCTAGTAAGCAAAAACTTTTAAAACTCAGTAAGTAAATAGATTATTTGGTAAACAACTTAGTAATGGTGATTGTGCAGGAGGACCGAAATGTGGGCACGGACGAGGACACAGAGGAGATAATCTGGGGATATGATAAAATGAAAATGATAGCAACTAGCAAGTTTTGAGACATGAGTCAGTCACAGCTGGTCTAAATAGTAGATTTAAACATACCGGTGAGTACTTGCTGGATACGTTATTGACGAGCATTCTCCAACTATCTGGGGTCCATTTTCTAGTTGCTGCCACCTGCTGTTCGTTTCTTTGATGTTGGCCTCCAATTCTTGGTGCAGTGACTTATTTAGTTTTTCTCTTAGCCCTTTTCTTGAGCATTTCAAATGAGGACTCGACTTGCCAAGCAGTTGAGGGATATTCTAAGTGTGTTCAACCTTCTCCAAGCGCTTTTCTCTGATTCTTAATTCATCTAGGAGATGGTTTGTTCTCTCCATCAGTAGATTATAACTACGCCAGTAGAACCTTAGGGGCAACTGCCGATCCCAAGCCCGGATAAAGGAGGAGGGTTGGACATGGGGTTGGCGACCCCATTCCGTCAAAAACTAACTTGCCAAAAAATGCTAACCAGAAAAAATAATTCAAACCATTTTAACTGTGCCCTGGGAGTCGAAAGAAGTATAACGTCTCGCGATGAAAGCCGAGTTCCCTCGGAAGTCACGGGGCTGATGCCTCTTCTGACAACCAGAGAAACCATTTTTTAGGTACATGGAACGTTCGTACATTGTGGGAGACTGGAAGACTATTTCAAGTTGCGGCAGAAATGAAACGATACAACCTCGAGGTGCTCGGCATCAGTGAAACGCATGGACACAGACAGGACAACTGAGACCAGCTTCAGGGGAATTGCTGTTATACTCTGGTCATGAAGAAGAAAATGCTTCACATACACAAGGAGTTACACTGATGCTGTTCATACATGCACAAAAGGCACTGATAGGATGGGAATCTCATGGACCCAGGATCATAAAAGCATCCTTCAAAACAAAGAAACAGGACATTACAATGAACGTCATCCAATGTTATGCACCTACCAATGACTACAATGACGACGTTAAAGATCAATTCTACGAAAGGCTGCAGTCAATCGTCGATAAATGTTCACCAAAGGATTTGACGATTCTTATGGGAGACCTGAATGCCAAGGTTGGAATGGACAACACTGGATATGAAGACATCATGGGACGAGATGGACTGGGAGAAAGGAACGAAAAAGGTGAGAGATTTGCAAACCTATGTGCCTTCAACAAACTGGTCATCGGTGGCACAATATTCCCGCACAAACGCATACACAAAGCTACATGGATTTCACCGGATCACACTACTCAAAACCAGATTGATCATATCTGTATCAACAAAACGTTCAGAAGGACTATGGAGGATGTGAGAACCAAGAGAGGAGCTGATATAGCTTCAGATCACCATTTGCTAATCGCCAAAATGAAACTGAAACTAAAGAAGCACTGGACAACGGGGCAGACAACATCACAGAAGTTTAACACGGCCTTCTTCGGGATACCGTAAAACTCAACGAATTCAGGATAGCCCTCACCAATAGGTTCCAGGCCTTTCAGGATCTACACAATGGAGAGGAAGCAACACTGGAGAACAATTGGAAAGGGATTAAGGAGGCAATCACTTCAACATGTCAGGAGGTCCTTGGTCGCAAGAAGCACCATCACAAGGAATGGATCTCTGTTGATACTCTTGAAAAAATTCAAGAAAGGAGGAACAAGAAGGCAGCAGTGAATGTCAGCCGAACAAGAGGGGAGAAAGTTAAGGCGCAAGCCGAGTATACAGAAGCAAACAAGGAAGTGAAGAAGAGCATCAAAGCTGACAAACGAAAATATGTGGAAGATCTAGCAATGACGGCGGAAAAGGCTGCAAGAGAAGGAATCATGAGACAATTGTACGAAACAACAAAGAAGCTCGCCGGAAACTATCGTAAACCAGAATGACCAGTGAAAAGCAAGGAAGGCAAAGTAATCAGCAACACTGAACAACAGCGAAATAGGTGGGTAGAGCACTTTAAGGAACTATTGAATCAACCATCTCCACTGAACACACCCAACATCGAAGCAGCATCCACGGACCTCCCAATTAATATTGGCGCACCTACGATTGCGGAGATCAGTATAGCCATCAGACAAATCAAGAGCGGCAAAGCAGCAGGACCAGACAACATTCCAGCAGGGGCAATGAAAGCAGATGTAGAAGCAACTGCGAAAATATTTCACATTCTCTTCAAGAAGATTTGGGATGAGGAACAAGTACCATCAGATTGGAAAGGAGGATACCTCATCAAAATACCAAAGAAAGGCGATCTCAGCAAGTGTGAAAACTACAGAGGCATCACCCTTCTTTCAATACCAGGCAAAGTCTTCAACAGAGTATTGTTAAACAGAATGAAGGTCTTCGTATACGCCCAACTTCGAGATCAGCAGGCTGGATTTCGTAAGGATCGATCGTGTACTGACCAAATTGCTACATTACGGATCATTGTGGAACAATCAATGGAATGGAACTCACCACTCCACATCAACTTCATCGACTACGAGAAAGCATTTGATAGCGTGGATAGGAAAACACTGTGGAGGCTTCTTCGACACTACGGGGTGCCTGAGAAAATAGTTAACATCATACGGAATTCTTATGATGGATTCAACTGCAAAATCGTACACGAAGGACAGCTAACAGACTCCTTTGAGGTGAAGACCGGTGTCAGGCAAGGTTGCTTACTCTCACCCTTCCTCTTTCTCCTGGTCATCGACTGGATTATGAAAACGTCAACATCTGGAGGGAAGCACGGTGTCAACTGGACAGTTAGGACGCAGCTGGACGATCTGGACTTCGCAGATGACCTGGCTCTTCTATCGCAAACTCAACAACAAATGCAAGAGAAGACGACCAGTGTAGCAGCAGCCTCTGCAGCAGTAGGTCTCAACATACATAAAGGAAAAAGCGAAATTCTCCGATGCAACACAACATGCACCAACCGAATCACGCTTGATGGCGATACCTTGGAGGACGTTAACACCTTCACATATCTGGGCAGCATCATCGACGAGAAAGGTGGATCGGACGCAGATGTGAGGGCACGGATTGGCAAAGCGAGGGCTGCATTTCTACAGTTGAAAAATATCTGGAACTCCAAACAACTGTCAACCAAAACCAAAATCAGGATTTTCAATACAAATGTGAAGACAGTTCTACTGTATGGGGCGGAAACATGGAGAACTACGAAAGCCATCATCCAGAAGATACAAGTGTTTATTAACAGCTGTCTACGCAAAATACTTCGTATTCGTTGGCCAGACACGATTAGCAACAACGTACTGTGGGAGAGAACAAGTCAGATTCCAGTGGATGAGGAAATCAGGAAGAAGCGGTGGAAGTGGATAGGACATACACTACGAAAAGCACCTAACTGCGTCACGAGACAAGCCCTCACATGGAACCCTCAAGGCAAAAGGAAAAGAGGAAGTCCAAGGAACACATTACGTCGAGAAATAGAGAAAGATATGAGAGGAATGAACAAACATTGGACAGAACTGGAGAGGGAAGCCCAGGACAGAGTTGGTTGGATTTAACTGGTGGGCGGCCTATGCTCCATTGGGGGTAACAGGCGTAAGTAAGTAAGTAACAGTAGATTATTGCTTTTGGTTTCTGGCCAACAAACCTGCAGTACTTTGCATAAACTACTGTTTAAGAATATCCACATATTTTTGATGATGGATCTGGTAGATCTCAAGATTCTTCGTCCATACAATACAGCTTTTCTCAAGTTTATATTGAATATTCTAACTTTCATGTTTGTTGACAGTTGTTTCTGTTCCTTATATTCTTCAGTTGTACAAATGTTACTCTTGCGTTATCAATCCATGTCTTCACACATTTGACACATCATACTTGTTTCTCAGTGATGATGGTCAGATATGTAAAATTTTACACAGCTTCCACAGCTTCGTCTTCAGGTTTGATCGGAGTGAAGCTTTGTGTTCTGCATCAGAAGATGTTACTTTCGCCTTTTTATATGTTGAGACCTAGTGCTGTGGAGACTGCTGCTACACTGTCCGTCTCCTCCAGTTTTTGCTTTTCTGTGTAGGATAGGAAAGATAATTCATGTGTGAAATCCAAATGGACCAAC